CTGCAGTGGACTGACTGGCCCGAGAGTCACAAGGGTCCTGTCATCACCTACCTCGCCAACTGCAACGGGGACTGCGCCACCGTCGACAAGTCTTCGCTCGAGTTCTTCAAGATCGATGAGAAGGGCCTCATCAGCGGCAGCGACAACACCTGGGCCTCCGACAACCTGATCTCCAGCAACAACAGCTGGACCGTGACCATTCCCAGCAGCATTGCTGCCGGCAACTATGTCATGCGTCATGAAATTATTGCCCTTCACTCTGCTGGCAACAAGGATGGTGCTCAGAACTACCCCCAGTGCCTCAACTTCAAGGTCACCGGCGGCGGTAGCGACAAGCCCGAGGGTACCCTCGGTACTGCTCTCTACAAGGACACCGACCCTGGTATCCTGGTCAACATCTACCAGACCCTGTCCTCCTACACCATCCCCGGCCCTGCTCTCTACTCCGGCAGCTCCTCCAGCGGTTCCTCCGGCTCCGGCAGCTCCAGCGCCGCCCCCTCCGCTACCGCCAGTGCTTCTGCTTCTGTCACTGCTGCTCCTGTCCAGACTAGCACCGCCACTGCTTACCAGACCTCCACTGCTGTTGCCAGCGTCACTGTTACTGGCTCTGCTCCCGCTCAGACCCACGTCCAGGCCACCAGCTCCTCGGCTGCTGCTTCCACTCCCACTGCTAGCTCCGGCGCCAGCTCTGGCTCCAGCTCCAGCTCCAGCGACCTGACTGAGTACTTCAACTCCCTCAGCGCTGAGGAGCTCCTGAACGTTATCAAGCAGACCCTCTCTTGGCTTGTCACCGACAAGATCCACGCCCGTGACATCTCTGCCTAGATTTGTCACCGAGAAGTGTTTCGGACCGAATAGACATTCTCTAGACTTTATCTTCGATCTTTCCACCGTTGAACAACTATTTTGCCTTGATGAGGATCCGGAATCCAAACTTGTGTAACTAGAAAAAATTTATACATATTTTGCACTATCACAGTTGAAACTTAAAATGTAGATCTCTTCTGGTAAAAGATAAACATGGTAGACGGAAAGTATTAAGGGTTTTTTCCATCCCGATTTCTACGTCGCTAGCAGACAGAGTCTGTGATACAAAAGGTACGAACTCATTCATGCCAAGATTTTTGATAGGATTTCTATGGTTTTAGTATAGATGGCTCTCATATATTTGAACACGATGCTGGCCTAATCTGTCGGTAAATGTATAGACCGATCAGCTGCTAGCCAAATAAGACGATGAATACATGGGATATGACATAGTTCAATTGGGACCATCATCCCGAGTCAATGGGCATTCAAGCATGGTAGAAGTGTGTTTTCTGAGCCTCATGAATTCAAGCCTGCGAACTAGAAATTAATGGTCATCGTGACGCCCATTTGATCGGCGTTTGTAGGGCAACAAAGGTACAGGTGAGATTGCCGATGAATGGGGAATAGCGGCCGATTGTTATTGCGGGACAAACAATCGCATGGTTCCGTCATTCTTTACCACCAGCTCTTTTTTGCAAGCCCTGGCCGACGGTCGCATTTGCTATATTGCATGGTATTGGCCAATATATACCTGCTTTTGTTGTATTCTTTCTTAACCGCTACCTTCCCATAATCCTTCGCCATGTTTAAGAAAAAGCCTACGGTGAGTAACCTCCCCCGCATTGCTTCGCCGACACCTGCCTACAGCTTTGCCATGAGCGGCGCAAAAAATTTCAGAACGAAACCCAAGGCTGAACAGCAAGTAGATCAAGAACCTATCGCCTCTACGGTCTTCTGACCGTCGAAAAATCGCCGATCAAATCATTAGCGACTATAAGATCGAGATTCCTTCCAGCGCGCCTGCCGGCGAAGACGCGACGCCGTCGAACCCCGCGCCGAACCTTTCGTCTATTCGGAATGCCCTTCTTCCTGACAATTCGTTATCGGCACGCTTTACAACGACTGCAGGCCCGCAGCTTCGAGAGGTACAGGGCACCGTTTATGTGGGGACACATCCAGGAGGCGAGGAGCGCATCTTATGGTTCAAGCTCGAACATGGACCCGGCGCCGACGGCCGTTTCTACCCTACAGTATATACCTTATGGAACAATCCCAACCTGGTACCGTTGCTATACACCCCGGAGATGGTCATGCGCAAACTACACGGCGGAGCAGATTTGATGACCCCAGGTCTCGCGAATGAACCGCCTTTCCCGAAGCGTGCGGTCGAGGGCGCCGTAGTTGCTGTCGCTAGCTTGGATCGGCACACTGTGCCGCTGTTCGTCGGAGTATGCGAAATCGATGTCTCGGCTTTAGGGGAGGTACAAGGCACTAAGGGTCATGCGGTTCGAGGTCTGCACTGGGAGGGCGATGAGTTATGGGCCTGGAGCTCGTCATCGCGTCCCGGTCAACCCGCGCCAGATTATCTGGCGGGCTGGGACGAGGAAGAGCTGGAAGGTGATGAGGAGGTAGAAGAGATCGAAGGGAAGGTTAACGAGCTGTCCCTAGACGAGGGCGAAAACCCTCAAGCGGTAGGCAACGAAGAGCCAGCCGAATCTGCAGAAGCATCGCCCGAAGAACCAGCTCTGGTAGAAGAGAAGGAGCCGTCGATGAAAGGTAGGTGTTGATAAAACCTCACTTCACTTTCTCAAATGGCTAATATTGCTCAGAAATCGACGAAGCTTTCACCAAGGCCTTTATCTACTCCTTGTATAAACTCAAGCAGGACAATCCCACTGCTCCCAACCACGGACTGTCGCTTCCCGTCCAACCCTCTTTCTTGATCTCGAATATGATTACACCCTACCTACCGATCTTCTCCGCGCAGCAGGCCCAATACTATCAAATCAAGAAAACTAGTTGGAAGAACGTCAAGAAGTTTATCAAGTATCTTGATAAGCAACAACTCGTCAAGTCCAAGGATCGGAATGGCCAAGAGACTGTTATACTAGATGTGGACTTCAACGACCGCCTCGTCGAACAGTTTGTCCCGTACAGACTTCCGTCCAAGTCCGCCCTGGAGAATGCTAAGAAGCCTGGCGCGGCTGCGAACAAGAAGCCCGAAGCCACGGGCGGTGATCCCGCTGTTGGCCAAACGCTCAACGTTCAGACACTGTATCGGCCCTCGCCGAAGCTGACGCCGACAATATTTCCAGCGCTGTCCAGTACCAACCCACAGAACTACTACAAATACTCCGATGTGTCCAATCATCTGGACCAGTACCTCCAATCGCAAGACCCTCCCATCATCGACAAGCAGAACCGTCGTATCATTTCCCTCAACCCGTTCCTCGCCAACACCATCTTCACTACCTCTTCCTCCGAAGACAGGAGTACCGTTGCGCGGGGAAAGACGACCCGGGATGGACTTCTGAAACGCATCGTGGAAGACCACAGCCTGCTGACCGCACACTACGCCATTCTCCGAGCAGGACAGACCCTAGCAGACGTGAAGCCCAAACCAGGCGCGACCCCGAAAGTAACGGTGATCCTGGAACGTCGCACCGGCTCGAAGACCGTCACGAAAGTCTCGAACCTGGAAGTGTTCGGCGTCATTCCCAGTCTGCTAGCCGAGGAGCTCCAGAAGAAGTGTGCCAGCAGCACGAGCGTAGCGCAGGCCAATGGCGCCCCGCGAGGGGTCATGGAGGTGCTGGTGCAGGGCGATCAGCGGCGTGCCTTGGAAACGGCTCTTGTGCGACGCGGTCTGAGGACGCAATGGATCGACGTGGTGGACAAGACCAAGAAGAAGAAATAGTTAGACATCGCTATCTTGCCACGATTTCATGATACCGATTGGAATAACAATCTTACCATTGACTCCCAAGTACAGAATATCCTACAAAGTGATAATAGTAACTCAACCTCGATCAAATAAAAATTTTCCAAAAATCCATGAAGATCAGTTTAGTTCCGCCTAAACTGGACTACCCCGATCAACATCGGAGACCCGCCGAGGAATGATTCCTCCCCGGACATTCACTCCCCGACTCTCTCCCCTCTTCAAACCTATGTAAATAGAGTCATACCCCAACCTCACCCACCCTGACACCCTGACACCCAAACCCAACATTATCCCAAAACAAAAGAACAGAAAGAAAGAAAGAGATCAAAATGCCAGTCTACCACATCGGTACGTTTCCCCCCGGCAACCTAACTCAACCCTACAACCAAACCACAACAAACTTAACCAGCGAAACAAACCCCGTAGTCCTCTTCCGCCTCAAGCAAGGCGTGACGCCCGCCCAACTCGCAAACTGGACCAAAGTCTCCCAAGCAATGGTCGGCCAGATCCCCGGCCTCCGCTCCCTGAAGACTAACCCGCCGTTGCCGATCTCCGTGCCCCGCGCCAAGGGCTTTGATATGGGGCTTGTTGCCGTTTTGGATAAACCGGAGGATGTCGCTGTTTATGCGGGGCATCCGGCGCATTTGGAGTATGTTATTTTCTTTCTTTTCTCTTTCTTTTTGGTTTGGGTTTGTTTTGGATTTGGGGGGTGGGTTTAGTTGGGGGTGGCTGAGTATGCGTGTTGCTGACCTTGGTGGTATGTGTAGGGTCCATAAGTTGAGGGAGGAGCTGTGTGAGGATACCTTGGCTTATGATATGGAGTTTGACGAGTGATTCCTCTACTTCGTATCTTTTTGTAACCTGGTTATGGAGATGGAAGGAATATGGAACTTTTGTTTGTCTTATGAACAGCAATAATAGACTTGACACAACGCCATTATAAGTCCCACGTCAGAATCCTTTTTTAAATTCCAAGTGCCAGCAAAACTGAAAAGAAAAAGAAAAAATAAAAGCCCAGCCAAGTCAGTATGATACTTATGCTTTACATCCCGTCAATGTGAAACAGTCTCTATTGAAAAAAAACACAGTTCAGTCGCATATCATTACTCCTTTGCGTCGACCTTCTTGGCCGGGTGATCGCCGTTGGCTTCGTCCTCGCGGGCGCGCTTCTGGCCAGCGTCGGCGGTGCTCTGTACGACGGGGACGCCGCTGTTTTCGGTTAGTTTTATTGATATTTTCCTCTTAAGGTAGTAGTGAATGCTTACCGAGCGTCCTTCTGGATCTCGCGAGGCTCCTTGGGCTCGTCCTTCTTGTCGCCGTTGAAACCGCGCTTCTGGTCCTCGGCGCGACGCTCCCTCCAGTCACGGTTGTCGCTCTGGCGGCCACGGCCACGACCCCGGAAACCACCACGACCGCGGGGGCGGTGGCCGCTGGGCTTGATGCGGCCGGCCTCAATGTCGCGCACCTTCTCGTCACAGTACTCCCTCTTGCTCTTGATGATCAGATCCTGGCCCTTCCACTGGGGCTTGGGCGCCAGGGCGAGGAACGCCTTCTGCTTCTCCTCGGACTCAAACTCAACGAAGACGCTACCCTTGAAGGTCTTGTCGTTGGCACGACGGAGACGGATGGCGTTGACGGGGCCGTGGGGGGCGAAGAACTCCTCAATCTCCAGCTGGGTGGTGGGGCCCTCCTCACCGAATCCCTTAGCGTAGACACTGCGGTCCATAGCCTTATCCTCGAACACCTTAACAACATTGGGGTCATGGGTCTCTTTAACGTTCTCGGGGAGAGGAGTCTTGCGGCGGACGGCAGTCTCATTGTCAACCAGGTCCAGGACCTCGGAAGTCTTCAGCGCCTCAACAATCGCGCTGAAAGGCTGGAAGCGACGCATGCGCTTGAAAGAGTGCAGGAGTTCCAAAGGAACAGCGCGGTTCTGGCTACCACCGACCTTGGAGAGCAGGAACTTGTCCATGGGGAGGTTGGAGTCGGAGAAGTAGAACTCAACCTGCTTGCGGATCTCGACGGGGTCGTCGGTCTCCTTCTGAGAGGAAGGGTCGAACTTGGCGTTGTTGCGACGGGGTCCACGGCCGCGGTTCTCGCGCTCCTTGTCCTCCTCAGCCTTCGCGGACTTCTCACCCAGCTGGGCGGCGGCCGCGACGATGCGGGCTTCCTCTGTGTCTTCGGCGGAGGCCTCCTTCTCGGCGCGTTGGCCTCGGTTTCACCCTTCAATTCGGCCAGGACGTTCTGGACATCCTTCTCGGCCTCGGTGTTGGCGACATTCTGTTCGGCAGACATGGCGAATGTGTGTGTGTGTGTTTTTGTCGTGCGACAAGGGAGATGAGGGGTCAACGGGAAAAAAAAGTGATACAGTCAAATGCGCGACTCCTAATTGTCAATTATCGGTTAGTGCGAATGGCGATATAGGGTTTCCCAACCAATAATACGGTCTATAAGGGAGTAGACAAGGGAATTAAAAAGCAGAGAGCGGAGTCATCTCTACACGTGAGTCAATCCGTGCCTTGGGACAAGGACAAAGACTCGAGGTCCGCGTCAGAGCCATGCGAAGGGCGCAGAATTAATTCAGCAGAAAGGGCAAATGTCCTACCTAGGATATACGCAAGCAAGTCTAGTAACCTGAGCGCAAAGTTAGACCCTTAAAGAATGAGATACTTGCAAGCAAATATCGTTCTTATCTCCGATGTGAGAAAGGGAAAAAAAAAAGCAGTCGGGGAAATGCGCGGCGAAAGAGGGGAAATTTTCTAGAGCTTCAGCCACTGTGGGTGCCTGAGGCATTAGAGAAAGCTTGGCACTAGGCCGGACTGGGAAATGAACAGGGACTAACCCGTTTAGGAAATATGAAAGCAAACTTGCTGGAGGCGCAGTTCCTTCCAGCCTGCTCTCACATCAGCTCTTCATGTTACTAGGCTTCTCTACTGCTGTTGAAGAGATAATCACGTGTCTCATTACTGTATCCAGGGCCCCTGTTCATTGCCCAGTGGTGTAATGAAGTACTATGAAAGTATCATGATTCTCATTGCATAGCAGATTCTCTACTTGAGATTTGAACACATCATATTGCAAAGTGGGAAGGCTTGTGCGTGCTTCGATATTAATGGTAATAAAATACTGCTGTGGGCACGCAGGCATTGGCTACGAATATATGGAGCAGCGTGTACATGATTGTGATATCCGACCATCACGGACTCAAAGGACGATCACTTGGAGAAGATCGATCTCAGTAAGAAGCCCCAAAAAAGAGAACAGCTAGATTGTTTCCAATGGGTGGAGCTAGGTTCTGCACCGTCAGCTAGCCTCTGCTACGGGTCGCACCAATAGCAACGAGACATTAGTCTAGATCTCGTGAATCATAGGCCAAAGCATAGCTTAGCAATTAGGAATAGAGGCGTATGCACTGAACAGGAGCTGCTGAAAGGAAAATAATGACAACTGTCCGCCATCACCGTCCTCTGAATGGCCGATGCTGTTGTAGATCAGCTATTTTGGCCTAGGCAAGGTATGGTCGGTCCCGTCTCACCCTGCTTGAAGTAAGTGGGGTGACTCACATATGTAACCTAACAATTCGGCAAAACTGGAGCCATGGAAGCCCATTGGGGGCATTGGTAACTGACCTACTGTAAGTATCATCTGGTGACTTTGGTCTTTCAGGGTTTCGGGCGTGTTATTGAACTTTAATCGTGGCCAGTTACATAAAAACTTTGGCTAGTTAACTAACGCCGGAGAGGGTCCGCCCTACCGCCCTTTGCATCTATATTTTTTCTATCCAGACCACGTTATGTTTTGCAATGGAGGGAAAAAAAGTAAAGAAAAAGCAGCCATCATATTCTAATACATAATACAAGTCTTTAGTGTATGCTTTTGATCCTAATCGCATGGGCCAATGACGTGTCGTGTATCCTGCAAGTCATCATAAACGCTCTTTCAAGGCATTGCAATCATACGTTCGTAAGGGGCGAGCAGAGTGTGGAGGAATTGTACTCAACCGACATACACTCATAAGATATGTGTTGAGAAGGAAAGGGAAAAACAGTCAAAAGACGATGTGCTGACATTGCATAGGGGGTATCAAGGGCTGTGAAAAACAGATCCGCTACTGTGGATCGGAACTGGAAACGCAACCAAATTGTATGTTAAACCAGAAACACTCGTATATACCATATGCCATAAGCGCCTGTAATTGCTCGGTCGTATCCGCATACCATAATCACGGACAGATCAATTTCTAATTTGAGTCTCGCTTGACAAGGAAGAACCATGGCGCGTGTCATGTATTCAAGATCCGTCGGGAATATTGTATAGTCCGGTGGTGATGATCACGTCTAGTGTGAATATGGTAGGAGGAATCCTTGGTCTAGCTGGAGCCCCGTCTCGCAGGGACCAGGATCGTGCTCAAGCGCTTCCACCGCTGTTGTGGCGACGATGGACCCTCCCGATATATCCGGTCTTTATCGAGACCCGCTTTAGTCGATGATTGCGTGGAGGAACGGGGCCGGCTGGCGATGGCCTCTTGGTCCGCGAGGACATCTTCCAGCCGGACGTCGGCATCAGACATACGGTAATGAGAATCTTCGGGGTCGAGGATTTCGATAAACCTAGACGGCATGTCGCGCATTTTTATATGACACACCAGGATTAGGTTTCGGGGGATCCTTGAGGAAGTAAAATCTGACAGCCCGTGATTGAATGTCGGTCACGGGGTGGGAAGGTAGACTCGTGACTCCAACCGGTCACGAGTGGAAAAAAAAGTAGAACGAGCGGAGATTTTTTACAATGTCAACGAGGGAGACCGTGAGATTTTAAAAAGGGGAGCTCTTCGGCATCGGTGACCAAGCGTAAATGGAGACTATTTCCGCAGAAGCAGAAACTGGACCGAGGGAGCGAAGAGCGAACGGAGGGGGTCGCATGTAGTGAGACCAGGATTCAAGCGAATGTGTGCTAGCCGCGGCACTATTATGCGCTCAGGGGTTTCGAATAGAGCAGTGATATCCGTGATGCAGGGGGTTTGAATGACCTCTGGAAATAACAAACATGGCTATGAGGAATTTATGGAGGGAAGAGGTCAACTCCCCGGGGGGTTATGGCTGTATTTATCATGCCCCCCTTTTGATGTTTCGGGTAACGACAGAGTTTCGGTCCTGGGAGAAGGTCAAACTTGCACATTATTCGCCAAGGATTCCCTGGATTTCTTTCTAGTATGGATCCCCCGGTCATGGTGGCGGACGAGGCGCCTTCTGTGTGCGTGTGCGTGTGCGCAAGGGCAGATGCCACATCCGCGATATGCCTTCTGAAAAGATAAAACGTCGATCGCTCTGATTGATGGAGAACCTGCGACGGAGTTCAATGGAGGTTGGGCCCCGACGATGGTTCGTCGGTCACAAGCAAGCAGAAGTGGAGGGCTTGCGTGGGGTTTTTCTTCTTTTTTTTCGGTTTGGCTCTTGCAAGTCTTCTGCACTTCCATCTAAATTACCCGATTCGGTAATGCTAGGGCCTTCGCATCCGCGGGATTGGATTATTTTTCGGGAGTCCCTACTGTAAGAACCCCGAGTTTCCTCCAAACGCAGATCGTGGTTGGCTCCCGAAATATTAGCCAATAACTCTGACCGAGTTTAAAAAAATCTCTTTCTCCACATTGAAGGTTCACGGGCAGAAATGACGTCGGAGGGAAGATCTCTGGGTTTTACTCCACTTCACTGGGCGTGTGAGATGTGAGAGATCTCACCGTCAACCTGCCATACTGAGTCAAAATAAAAATATCTTCATTCCCTCTCTGGTACACTCTATACGGGTGTCACGAGCACCGTTACCCCAAGCCGCTCTCAGCTGTCGCTGGCCATGAGAATGCACGGATGCACTCCACCAAATAGTGTCCTGCAAATGATGGTCCTTACTGCACAAGGATGTGATATCATAGCGTAAGGGTGTTAACGCATACAGCCACAGGAAGCCATGAATGTATGGGGTAAAATATGTGCCAAAGAATTATAGAGCTTTTAAAAATAGAATTCGATTGACTTAGACTGCGATAAAGAATGCATCGGTTGGGGTGATGACCATGACGTCATGCCACCGCATCATATTCGTACCACTCTCCACTCTAAACGTCCATACACCCTTCGGTCTGACCATACACCATCTGTTAAATTAAGTCAATATGCCTCCGAAACGCGTAAGGAGGACCGCTTCCACGACTCAGAAACCACCATCCCCTCCACTCTCCGAAAAGAACGCCCCAGTGGCGGATGAGAATGTCGAAGTTGAGGCACCAGACGTACAGGAAAGAGGCTCGATGGGTAGTCCACGAAACCCTCGCCACAATGAGCCACCCATGATAATGGACGAAGATGAAGAGATGCCGGAAGAATCGGGAGACACTGTCCAACTTGCGAGGCCTGAATATGCCGGAGGGGCGGGAAGATATAACATGCTCAAATCCTACAAAGGACAGGTCTACTCGGGCATGGCAGTGGGAGGATCTCATACTTGGAATTATGATCAAGGCGTGTGGAAAGAAACGAAGGAGGAACCAGATTTATGGCGGATCGATTATCAGACCAATAAGAGACGAGCGAGGAAGGCACCGGAGGGAAGCGGCGCTCCTGTCGGGACGGAGTATCACTGGCTCATTGTAGCACACCAGGTACGTTGGTCCTTTCCCAGATTCAGAAGCCAATAGCGTGCAGCCCCTGAGTCACAAATCCATATCTCACTTCTTTTAGTTTGTCAAGAAGATTGATGCCAACACATATGAGACAAACCTCACTGGGTCCAAATATAAGTTGGCTTACAAGTCCGCCTCGTCCAACTCATGGTCTGTTCCCACCGTCAAGAAACAACGTGACCGAGAAGTCGAACTGCTAGAGGATGCCAAGCAGCGTGTTCAAGGCCTGCCTCCGGTGCTGGCATCGGAGAAAGTAAAAGTTGCGAAACCCGAGAAAGGGCAGCAGAAATTGGATCGCATGTTCACCAAAGCTGCAGGTGGCGTTAGTAAGAAAAGGAAGCTAGGTGAGGACAGCGGAGGATGAACCTGACTTCAAATGGTGTGCCACACACCTTGATAGTAGTTGTAAATTGTATACTACGTCTCGAAGTGGTTGTTGATGGATACTTTTCCTTCATCCCCACTTACGTGTTAAGCTGATTTGCTTCAGAGATTGGATCGCCCTTGAGTACTCATCATGGGAGTGTACTGTGGATAGCACGGAACTTTCGTGTAGCTCTATTCAATGTGACTCCAGGTCAGTTGTTCTAATGAAGAACATATCATCCGACACCATTCGAAATAGTTGATCAAAGGGAATGGTGAAGCCTGTCAGCCTATACCATGATATATGTCTAGGCACCACCAGATATCCAGAGTTTATACTGCCTCACGTGGCAGTCTAATAACTGCCTCGTGCCGCGTCTAGCATCGTACAGCAGCCCGAAATGATGTGATCTACGGCCGATCTGAAAAGCCACATATAACCTTCCCTTCGGGTAGCACATTATCATGCACCTCGATATCTCGATCCGCATTTACTACTTGTTTTAGTTGTTGTGCTTAATAACTACTATTGGTCTATCAGCCACCGTCATCTTGCCCTTGTCTTCAGATCATACTGACGCAGTACCTGGTGTCAACTGAAATGTGGCTCGAAGACCTTGCTGTCCTGATAGTATTACATGCTTAGTGACCGAGTGTGGTATTTGGAAGACACAACTTCGATACAGTCCTTCTAGTATACCTTACATAGAATTATTTTGGATCTATATCTGAAAATATCATTATAGGAAGGTCCATCATTCAGCTGTCACACGATTGTCCTAGAAAATGGGAACTCATATGACGTACATACTCGGCCAATTCATAAATTCATCTTATTGCCTCTATGAATCTTTCAGACCTTGCATAGGATGAGCTAGAACCAAATCCTACGAAAGAACACTGAAGAATTACTTGGAAGGCTCTAAGTCTTCTCGACAGCTATGTTCAATGCTCCTGGACTGCTTGACGGAGAAGGGTCCTCACTTGTCATGTACACGTTGGTAGTAAGATGGTCTATGAGTCCAGGGAAATGCTGTGACTGAATCAGAAAATAGGATCTTCAATGTGGTCAGGTAGACATCACTGAAGAATTTTATAATAGGATAGCATGTGCTGCTTTCCAGATGATAATGCAGTTTGCTGACGAATCCTTTTCTTCCTCAATGGTTTCTGAATTTTAAAAAAGCATAAGAAACGAGGAGCATGAACTTTCACTCTTGAAACCAGGCCATCGGTTTGGAAAAGCCACGACCTTCCTCTACGCAAAGATAAACAAATGTCGTCATATGTTTTTGATCAAACCCTTCAGATAGAGCTATGGGTTTGGCGAGATCTATCCGGATGACCCCCGTCCGGTGATTTGATCACTGAATAGAGATGCCAAGTCTAGTAACATAACCCTAGCTGCTAGATGACTAGAGTAGCTTCTGGTCTGTCAGCGATATCTTCGTATAGATGATATTATACTATACCACATTGCCCAATTGCAGGACATCCCATGATATCCTGTCGAGTGATATGCCGATCGAAGCGTTGAGGCTTGCCCATTAAAGGTTTGTAGTACCAACATATGAACATTGTCCGTCAGGACGATATATCGGCTCAGGGTCTCCCTGATCTTGTGACCCAGTTGTTCCATAAACGGACTCGCTCTTCGTATTCGTCGGAGAACAGTACTATCCAAATCATTATTAATAGACATGATTCCAAGCCGGTTTATGGTAAGGAGACTTACTCCTCGGATATCAGTAAGATCAGGACCACCGTACCGTGCAAAGCGTTTCAAGTTATGCTCGTCCATGGTAGAGATCGGAGGGTGGGCAGTTAGTGGATTCGAGGCCGGGGGTTCACCTTCTTGCTTGGGTCTCTTGAGTGCTCGTCGCGTGAGGCTCTCGGAGGGGGCTTCTGGCCATAAGGGGGTTGCTGATCTTTTGCACATGCTGAACGATCTTGGAGGTAGTTTGACATCCACAGATTTGGATGGTGTTATCGCAGGGAAAGTGTCGAAGAGGGAAGATAGTGTCCTAAGATGTGAAATGCCGATCGATGTGAGCCGTGTGGCATTTAAGTCATTACAGATAACAAAGAGTAGGACATCAATGAGATCTTGCGTGCTTTTGCCTGGATTGACGGCTTTGAACTGATTGTTTCTTTCATCCATTGAGTATTTGTAAAGACATTTAGACAAAAAGATGTTCCAAAGAACGCGTACGGATATGATGGGGCTCAATTGTATCGGTAGTTGGAGCCCCGTATCAACTGGAATATAGACATGGGCATATCATGAATAATCAAATGTTGAATATTAATACAGGTATGTACACTTTTGGAGGCCATGATTGAAGTTATATTGTCGTCGGACTTTCTGGACCCTTGCACCAGGCAATCGAACATGGGTATTCCGTTCAGTCGTCGTTTTGCGTATTACACAGTCTTTATCATGATATTCTGACACTTTGAGCATTGTTTACAATAGGGAAGAAGGGATTCATTCAAAACAAAGTCACGGAATCCTAGGTACGGGTAACTGGGATTGAAAATGAGAATTCGGCATGTAAGAGGGATGTTTCAGTCTGTGTATGTTTCTACCACCTCATATTCAGAACAATCCATGGGTGTGGCCCAATATTACTAGTTATTTCAACCACGGGAGTAGAGATTGCCAACCTGGCTGCACAAGGATGCCCTGTACTATTCTTGGCTCAACCGTTTGAAGCCCAGCTCAACCACATATCAGTCACAAATTCACGCCATCCAGACTGAATCCCTGCTGGCCCAGGTTCCCCTAGAAATCTTTCCCCTTCTACCTAGAAAGCCAGCCACCAGTAAAACCCAGATAGATCAATATCCCTCCCTGACCCACAATTCTGCATGATTCAGGCTATTTCATGAATCAAATATTTCACTCCAGACACCCAGTCAGCCCATCATCACAATACCCCACTACAGAGACTGCCCTTATTAATCTTTAGCCGATATTACTCCAAGCAGAAATAGCGATAGGCTGCTAGACTCATTCCTTGGAATGATCCGATCATGCGCTGTGCAGAAAGCTGGTTTAACGCCGTTAGGCATCTACTAATGCAAGTCCGGTGGGGCTCTCTGGTAGGCTAGTTTCCTGGATAAATTTTCTGTCAGTTGAGGCTCTCTGACGGCCAAGTCCGTGTTGCTGGATGTTATCTAGCGTAATATAACTTGGTTGGACTGGGGGATGAGCGGAAGTTGCGGTGTACGTATGCAATAATCTCACTCTGCAGTGAGTCAGGAGGAATATGCGGCGTAGAGGTTGCCTTAAGGGGTTTGACGTGAGACGGGCTATTGACATGGGTCGGGGGCTAGACAGGCTCTAGGATAGTCGAAAAACAAGCCATCTGAGAAATAGACACGACGATACATGCTGTGCTACATTCGTATCTGCAAGATATTGTGCCTGCTCCGATCCGTCCCGGTAACGTCAATTGAATATCGGCCTGTATTATAACCAGGGCTGACCACTGGCTCAGCAAATACTTACTTTTGACCATCCCCCGATTCGGCATTCTGCAGCCTCTGCATCGATGATCTGCTCTGTTTTAGGCAGCTGGTAAAATAATTAAAAGTATATTGCTCGGACTCTCGGCTGTCATCTCGGTGCGGTGGTATTTCGATTTTAGGGGAAAATGTGACAGTGTCATTGAAATGATGAATGGTATGTAATATTCCTCATTGATGGAACGGGCTACTAATATAGTCAGTATCACAGCTTTCAACTAGCTAGCGTCAATCTTTCTTACACAGTATTAAAGTGGTCAATAGACTAACCGTGTGAATCCAACACGTTTCCTTCATATAGCTGTTAGTACCTGAAAAGGAACAGGAGTATTGGAAGCCTGGTGTATGTGTGAGACAGAGCTTCGAGATGCAACAAATGCAAACCCAAGGGCCTTCAGATACTGACAGATGGCATTTAGCTTGGCATGATCTCGCAAGAATCAAAAATGTAGCCGATCGAGTGATACAACTGAAAGACGACTGGGGAGCTCGCAACAAAGTGAGTGGCACTGACCGAATGTTCAGTTACCATATGGTTAGGGCTAGACCTCTCTAGTGACCTATAACAATTGTAGTAGAGAGGGGTTTCGATTAAGGACAATGAAGATTGGCAGAATGGCACATGGTGGATGGTCTTAGGTGGTTGACATCGGATTTGATAGTTGTTTGGGTAAACCGGCCAGTACTCATAGTTCGAAGAGTTCAACTATAGAAAAGAGTTTAAGATGTGATGTAGATCTTGATGCATGTATAACTCTATTTGTCTGGGCGGAAACTAAATCGAGACGAACAAGACTACGAGGCATAGCCCGAGTATCTTGGCCATACGATTTAATGCAGATGAGGTCTTTTATGCCTTCTCCACAGGGATTCGCTCAGTAAAGTAGTCATGTGCCTAGTTTACGATTGTTTTAGAGTATAATGATATATGTAGGAACCATGTTTCATGAAGAATATAAACGTTAATTTTTAAAGGGTATCGTAACATCATTATAAAAAGCGAGACCCAAACTCCGAAGGCTATATCCATATGCAAGCAAGCGCCAACCAATGCAAGCAAAAAAAGTTAAACGGCAATAGGCTTGCGGTGCATGTCATCGGTCCACTTCTCAGGCAGATAGCCGTGCTCCAAAAGTCGAGCCATGCGCTCCTTGACATGCTTCCCTGCGACCACTGCCTTGAACTTCTGTGTCCACTCCGGGGTAACACATTCCTTGAGAGGCTCGACGACTGCGTCGCGGTTGGGGTGACCGAACCAGGCAATGGCATATCTGGATGGGATGACAGTGGTTGTACCATTTTCCGTTTCCCGAGTTTCAGCTGGGGGCTGCACGACTCGGTGCTGAGTGGATTTTAATTGACCATTGAACCACCGAGAGAGGAGGTCTCCAACTATTTGTCCTATTAGCATCTCGATTATGGAGTAAATAAGAAAAGGGTAGCAGCTTACCATTAACGATGGCATGACCGCGCATAGGAGGCGCATCAATCCATTGTCCGTCCTTGTCCTTCACTTGCAAGCCGCCATTGCTATCATTGAACAGCAAAGTCAGGGTACCGAAGTCCGTATGCGGCGCAGAGCGTACGCGAGTATCGAAGCTCTCCAATGAAGTCTCGTAGTAGTGTAGCAAGGCACTGTAGCAGTCCTTGGCCTTGACGGAAGGGATGAGAGACTCGCGGTCCAGGCCCACTTTCTCCGTCAATGCGCGCAGCAGCTCAAGATGCATCTTGTAACACTCTTCGTAGAAGGTTGTGAAGTCGCGGCGGAACTCAGGCCAGTTGGTCGGCCAGAGATTTGGCCTCGTTTCGTCCTTGTCATTGCCCAAACCGAATGCTTCCTTCTGGTCGGCTTTCTCGGGGTTCTTAGCTGTACGAGCGGGAGCGAACCAGCCGCGGAAGGCTTGCTTTTCGCCGCCCTCGATGGCCAGCTTCTGTTCCTCGGAGAGGGAGAAGAATTTGTGGAGATGAGAGAAGAGGGTGTCGATGAACTCTGGAGGAAAGTTGAAGCCCTTGAGGTAGATGAAGCCGACATCTTTGAAGGATTGGAAGAGCTTGTCTTTCTCTTGGGTTGCGGTCATAGGGTTAGAGGAGATGATGCGAGAGTAATCAATGACGGGAAAGATCGGAGTAGACATTGTGAGTAATGGATAGTGTTAACCTGAGCGGTGATTGATATGATAGAGGGTAAAGTGAATTTGGCTGCTTGTCTTGCTCTCGTGGTTATTCTTATTGTGGCGGTGAGGCTGTTGCTGTTGATGATAATTACATAGCTCGAGATATTGAGTGTGTTTATAATAATCCATGAGGTTGTATGTGAAGTCCACTTTCCTCCTGATGTCCATCATCAACACCTCGCTCCGCGAAGACTTGTACGGACATCCGAAGTGTTGCCCATGCCCTCCGATCATGATGCATATCCAGAAGTTGATAGACAGGGCACAGACTATCCACTCCGCGCCGAAATCTTATGATATTGGAGCCCCAACGGTAAGGTAGTAGCCACGCGGAATAAACTTCAATTAGCTCAGATCCGGAACTGTGGATTGGGACGCTCGGGGCACATGGACACATGGCTATCCTGCCATGTCCACCTTAGTCCGACTTGGAGATTGGTGGACAATTCAGATGCAGGGGCTCGTCGTTTAACGGATGACTTGCAGTCTGGGCGTTTACGGAAAAGTTTGGCAGATACTTGACCTCCAATCTTCTAGAAATATGGTTATCATGCTAGCTGAGTTATTACTACTTCATCGCTCGGAGAATAGTGTTGATTGATACTATGACCGCGAGACAACGTATACCATGAGGGCTCGTGATGCAAACTATGGAAAATATTCAAAAACTTGTAAAATTACACACAGGCTTCACTACAACATTGAATAGTGTCACATATAAAGAAAAAACTAAAAGTAAATGAGAATGTTCATAGTATGCCTCTGCTATGATCGTCCATCGCTGTGCACTTTGACCGCAAGGCAACACACCTCCGAGCGCACAGATCCACATACATCCTACTTTCGCCGAAGAGACTCGGCACAAGTTCGCTCAAGCTTTAATGGCGATACTTGGCTCTATAGGCCGAGGGAATGCTGAAACAAGCATTAGATAACGTAATTTTGTTCGGTGGCAATTTCTCTCCCGAAGTACAGCTATTCCCTAACCAATGCACGCCAAGTAACATATTCATGTACGTTTCGTTTCATTCTATAAACTATGTATCTCCGCATAGACTGCAGCAACTAGACCACATATACCAACTCTGGATTTTCACGATCAGTCAAGTCTTTGAATTCTGACTTTTCTGATTTTTCATATCCAGGTGCAGCCCGAATCCTTGCTTTTTCGGCGTTCCGTTTACAATATAGATATCTAATCAACAGCAGATCAAGCAGACAGGCTCCCCAGCAGCAGCAGATGCCAATCTCGGCCGGGATGTACCGCGGTGCGTCACTTTGCTGGAAGGTCTGAGGCCCTATGTGGTGCGTCAATATGGCGGTACACACAAGAGGCTCTGCTTTTGTGGGATTCTTACCTATGATGTTTCCAACGCAATAGGCAACCATATAGATGGCCCCTACGGTAGTCTTCTTGGTTGCACCCGCTACATTTGTCGAGATAAAAGATAACAACGCGATAAATGCAGTCGGGCTGGCTTGCGTGAGATAGTAAGCGGCTAATCGCCCCGGACTGTTACTCAACGGCAACACGGCCAGGAGAATGGCGCCCAGAAGACCAATGACCATACCAACAAAACTGACATAGATGCGTTGCTGTAAGCGGTCGCTGACAATCCCGTTCAAAATCACAACAATGGTCTGGAAAGCCCCTCCCGGCGTCGCGTAGAGCAAACTCTGCTGTGACGTATACCCGGAATTGCGGATGATCTGCGAAAAGAACGTTGTAATACCTCCAAAGGGGATGTTCACGGCAATGCCGAAGAACGCAAACGCCCAGGTGATGGGGTCCGTCAGCGCCTCTTTGAACTGGTACATCTTGAAATGTCTGTTTCCAATTCCCTGTTGGTTGCCACGGATTCGTTGCACAGCTAACACACGGTCTGCCGGGCTCAGGAATCGACAGTTCCACTGATTGTCTGGAATATAATATAGAAATGCCACGCCGACGACTATTGTGAATAGACCGAAGCTTAAGAAGAGAATCCGCCATGGCTGGATGGAGGCCCCGTGCTGCTCTACGCCTCGGGATATCCCGTATGCGATGAGGCCCCCGACAACATTTGCAACCCCGTTGCAGCTGAACCAGAAGCCGACGCGCCCGCCTTGCTCATGCTTCGTGTACCATCGCGAAGTTAAGGTGGTGAATCCTGGCGTGACCACTGCTTCGAAGACCCCAAGAAAAAACCGAACCGTGGCAGCACCGGCAAAGTTGTTTACGGCAGCGAAGCAGGTGAGTGTCACTCCCCACAGGATTATATTGATTGAGGAATATTTTGCCAGTGGGAATCGCTGCATGAGATAACTACTAGGATACTCCACGAATATGTAACCTGATAGCATGAGTAAAAAGCCATGAAGGTCACCGACAGTACAACTCAGACCTACCAAAGTAGAATATACTCCCCAGCCATTGGTATTCGTTGCCTTTGAGGCTGAGGTCTGTCTGCAGACCCATCACGCTAGCATAGGACAGCGTGGTTTCTATCCACAGTGCGCATCAGCATACTGATACGTCTACCGAGAAACCTAGGGGGAGGAAGAGAAATAAAAAAAAGCCAGTCTTACTGTCCACGAAGTTGAGACCGTAGATCAAACATAGTAACTACAATACAACAATTAAACCTGAGCAACACTCACAAAGCCAAGTTCAGGGGATTAACACACTGGCAACAAGTTCTTATCAATAGTTTTCAGCAACCGGGCATTGGTAGCATCATCTATATCTCGAACGTCAAGGTCCCGCCCGTCATCGAACGCACGCATTGCCTCATCTTCATTCGTGGAAAGCTTGGGGCAAACAACTACTTGTTCCACCATGTTGTTGACGACATCGGTCTCGGCAGGCTTCATACAGACAAACAATCCACTAAGCTCAATTCCACGAGCATGTGCAATACACATCAATCAGAGCAAAATCGGAACTCTATCATGTAGACGGAGCGCATGGAGATTTAACTGATCTATTCTCTGACATGGCGGGGTCTTCTTCGGACATTCTTGGGTCATGTAGAAGCCTCGGTGATAGTGGCGGATGAGATTTTCCTCGCGAAAAGCCAATCTAATGGCACGGATACGGGCCTAGATTGGGACTAGGCTTGCTTATTTGTGCCCAGAAACACTGTTCTATTTTGTCCCTGGCCATTGGTCTGCCCCCCTGTCGTCATATTTTAGTCCATGCGCCGTTGTGGAGTCGGTTTCGCGGAAAAGGAAAATGGGTCCTGAAGGGTATCTTGGTGGGCCGCTGGGGGCTTGAGCCACTGGCAATCTAATTGATGAAAAATTCGGCATCATCGCTAAACCCTGGGCCAAGAGGCATTTTACTGTAGTGATCATCACACTTTTTGTGTAGGATTCTTTAGTTCCGCAGATAATTGCAACGGTGAAGTTTATCTCGAGTAATGGAAACCTTTGAAAAAAGTAGGTAAGACGTAAAAGGTTGTGAAGAAAGTCTATTATTGCATAAGAATAACCGACGAGAAGCGCCAGCAAGCCGAAATCAATACCGTTTGATCGTGAAGTAGTATTTGTTGGGTAGTAGCCGTGGCCCCAGTTAATATCCAAGCTTTTCTTTCCCTTCCCGGTAGCGCACGAAATCCACAAACTGTCGAACTAGACTCAAGGCTTGGACATTGGACAGGCGCGGGTCGCATAAACTGCGGTAGTTACTGCCCAGAGCGCTCCTTTGGTCCATATTATCATCGTCTTGGCACTCGGTTACGAATTCTCCCGTTTGTTCGAGGTGTAACCCGCCGAGAATAGAGTTGCTCTCTCGATGTGTTTGGTATGTCTGGGTAGCTTCTAGTAGCATGCGTCCTACATGCCGTGTCTTAAGACCAGCCTTCGTAGTCTGTGTATTCCCATGACAAGGGTCACACATCCAGACAGGCGTGTGCCCGGCCTCCTGGACGGCTTTGATGAGAGGGGGAAGAAGAGTGGCGACCTTCTCTGCTCCGAGGCGCGTGATGATCGTTACTCGGCCAACATTCTCTGACAGGTGTGGCTCAGGGCAGATGGTATTGAGAAGCGCGACCAGTGTTGAACCCTCAGTACTTGGCCCGATCTTTACCCCAATGGGATTCCGCAGGCCACGGATGTACTCGACATGAGCCCCGTCCAACTGCCGCGTGCGTTCACCGATCCAAATAAAACTGGCCGAGGTGTTGTAACGGTCGCGGGTCATAGCACTCTCATAAGGAAGGTGAAGCGCTTCATGGGATGTAAAGATAGTCCCAGTGGGTGTCGGTAATGCTGCAACATCTGTCTCTTCTGGAGTCAAGGGGAAGGAGTTCTGCGCAGGGACGAAATTTCGACCCATGCTAGAGGGTGTAGATTGGATATCTTTGATCATTTGCAAGGTCGTCCTCGAATAAGAGTCTCCCAGCAGCAGACGATATGGGTCAGGGCGTCTCTCCCCGATATTGGAGCCGTTAATATTGTGCCCCCGGAAAGCGTGCGTTCTTGTACCGTCTTCCAAGGTCTCCCATGGAGACGACCGGGGCTTTGCGTACTGGCCAGCAATTCGTCCCACTGTTATAACGGGCAGACTAAGACCTTGTACAAGAAGATGAGACTGCTCCTGCAGAAGTTTGATCTTCTGTTGGATAACATGCAGGCGTACGTCGTCGAAGCTCTCTGCACAGTCGCCTCCTTGGATGATAAACGCCTCGCCTCGTGCTGCGGCTGCAAAACTGTTACGGGCAATCTCGATTTTCATCGGGCTGACAAGCGCCGGCAGAGTGGATAGGGTGCTCAGGACCGATTCCAAAGCTTTCGGGTCATCATACTCTACAGCCTGGGCGATCACGGGCTTTGTAGACCAGGACTGGGGTGTCCATGTGTCATGTGGAGAATGTATCATAGTAGCAAGATGGATAAAGATGTTGTTTTGGATTGTAGAGGTCGAGGACCACGATTGCTCTTTGAGACTTACTGGAGAAAACATATGAACGTGGATGTGGCTGTTGTCTATTGATAATATTTGTAGCTCTATATGTATACCAGCCGTCTTTCGGACGCCTATTATCCCAACGGCGTTCAGTGGCGTGTCATCAACCACCGGAAAGCTTGGTAGTGCTTATTGTGCGGTGGGTGAGTGCAGACAGCACCGAAAGTCCAGATAAAATTAAAATACCCTAGAGGCGTAGAGACTATACTAGTCATTCTCGGGAACCTTCCATGATAGAACAAGTATCTTCACCGTATATCCAGATTTTTTGCATCCATGTCCAGTTCTCGAAACTCAAACACGCCATTGCCGGGCCTAATCGGGGCAATTTCCTGTCCAATATCCCCGAGATGAGCAACAGCTGAACTCGTTACTTGAAGTCCAGAGCACTACATCTTGTATGCCATCTTTGGTTAGCGCGATACAATCCTTCCACCATCTATTTTCGCCTACACATCCGACAACTTGTCATAATGGAAAACGCGTCATATAGCGTGCATCCTTCGAATCCTTCACTACGGGGACCCGACCCAATTCGTTTGCTTGTTTTATAGTTCCTGCACCGGGCGTTGCTGTCCCACTAAAATATGCACGTCTCCCGCTTTGCTCCGGGGCCGAGTTGATGCAATACCATGGCTCAGGACAGGATTAGGCTCCACCGGGCTATGCAAGATGCATCAAGATGCAATATTGCACTCTAAGCCCGACCCCTGAAAGTCGCGTGGATAATTAGGTTTGCATAGCGTTCACTACACCTTACGGGGCAACTAAGCAACTCAATCAGAGATCTACGTATTGTGAGCGTGGATAATATGTGCCGCATAATTTTCCGGGAGATTGCAATGTGTGCTCAATACTAACTGCTACGTGAGTGACGCCTCTTATAGAATATACTAAGCTCTTTCAAAGACTCAGTTCCGCAAAGAAGCCTTCGTACTGTAAGAGACAGTACTTCAAGGGCCTCGCAGTAAATCCTTCCCAACGGCCAATCTATCGCGCAGCCAAGACACCAAATAGCCCCGTTGATGCGATGTCATTGCGCTAACTTCGCTAACCTTTCAGCCGAGGGTCCTTTTATGGTCTTGAGGATTTTTTTGATTGCCAGCAAGATAATCACCTGAGGCTTGATTTGTGCTTGATGCCATGTGGCGCATTTCGACGCCATCCCAAGCCAACCGCATTGCTTGATATGCACCTGATCAACAGTGTAGATGATTTACGTCGTATATCCACGATCGGATTCCATGGATCTTGGTGCTGCACTACTTGCACGTATCTCGAGAATATATCTCCGAGGCATGTAGCAAATTCGACGACCCTCGAGCCCCATCGGTGCTTGACAATGTGCCGGACCTGTGGGTTTCATCCCCACACAACCTAGATCTTGTTTGAGCTGACATGACACATATTCTCCCCCGATAGAAAGTACATTCTTTCAATTGGCCCTGTTTCCTTGAGCAGTGCCGATCTTTCTAAATACGACCAAGTAGAGACCGGGCTAATTTGGTCTCGAAACCAACTCCGAGGACCATTCTAGCGGTTCTGATGCGCTCACGAAGAAACCCACAACGTCGACCGCAAAGACATTATCCGTCTGTTGATGTGTCAAAATGGAAGTAACACTATGTGCTCAGCACTTCCGAATTCCCAACTATCTTGGCTAACATTCCTTCTTTGATTGGGGATCTTGCTTCACCGTAGTCCCACTCCAGGTATAACTATGCATAAATATGTGCATCCGTTGTCCGTTCTATTCGGGGACATCGTGAGTCCTACCAAGACTCTCGCGTATACTAACCGAAGCCGGCTGGTGAGTTGTTCTGAGCCGGTCTTGATAACGCGAGGGAGGGGCAAACACGTGCACTGAATGTGAGTATTTCCTTATCGACGATCTGCCAGAAATTGCAGTAAGACGTCAAGACATTCTAGACGTCGAGTTCATTTCGTCAGTCCCACCTTGTGCGGGTTGGTCCGCCAGGTCCTTATCCACTACTGGCTCTTGAGCCTCGTTCTCCGTGTATCTTCTTTGCCGGATTGGCTCGTGCTGTGGCGCATCGAACGCAAGTGGACGTACCAGGGATCGGTTGTTTAATCTGGTTTTTCGGCATGACACCAACTGACGGCGCTCGGTATAGACAGCAATGCCTATTTCTGGAAAGTCATGTCGATCTTCATTGGCCATGTCGGGCCAGACATGTAGGGTGGGATAACGATAGATGGAGTTGGACGGCAACGCCGCTTATCCAGTGCTTGGCACCAATTTAGCCCGCCAGATCGCTCCGAGTTTCTCATCTGCAGAAAAATGGGCCTCTCTAGACAGAGCTATTATGGCTTGGGAGTTATGCAGCGATTAGCTCAGTCAATATCCTCATTTTCATTACGCTCTGAGGGGTCTTCCTCGCGTGTTCCCGCCACGCTGTCCAAAATCGCTAGTTTCAGGACTCTAAGACTGGTTGGTATTGACAGTTTTGAAATGGCACGACCAAGAATAAAATCAATACGAGAAAAGGGCTCTCGAGAGACATTCTAAAATTTAACTCGACCATAGACACAGTGGTTGGATCCGGCTAATGCGGCCTCGACGCTAACGTTGACGGTTTTGATTTCACACGTCCATTTCCTGCAACCATGGCTAACTGATCCTTGATTGCTGTCGCACTCGAGGGTCAGGCTACAGCCCATCATCCCTGTACACTAGGGCGAGTGACGAGGCTCTGACACGCTTTGTATCGCTTGGCTATGGTTGCCTGAGGTTTTTTGGCCGGCTGACACATAAGTACTGCGTAGAACTGCCTGTCTCGACTTGTATTTGGCGGCCTAAATGGTATTCTCCGAGGAGTGGATCGCATTTTGGTTGCTGGATCCACTCGCAGGAGTGTCCCACTGGATTTACTCCAGTATCTGCTACTTTAGGTCTTAGGGTTTCATCTGCTGCGGCTGGATCAACGGACGGATCATTCCGCATGTCGCTCTGGCCGTGTACATCCACGAATGATCATTCCCCGATGTGCTCCCGCACTGATCCCGTTCCTAAAATGTATCGGCGGGACAAACTATGCCTGGGACGTCGAAACCGTACCACGACGAGTGCCGTATACCACGGGGCGTCCCGTTTGGGTTGGTTCGGATTCCCGGCCCCAACCCGAGGTAACAGTTTAATTACGATGGGTCAAGGGCAGAAGACACCAGACCGACAGAAAAGTCCAGTACATACGAAGAGAATACGACGGAGTAGACAGCAGTGACAGGAAGATAACATCCCCACCAGGATCAACCTAACCGGGGGTACACTGGAACCTTCAACCAGGAGCTGCCTCCTTGTCAACGTCCGGGGGGGGGGGGGGGGGAGAAAAGATAACGCCTGCCGAGCTGCTAAATTATCGTTTTTTAGCTCCGGCGCTAATGGCCGTGCAATTCGACAGGCGAGCGAGAAGATTAACCAGCGAATAGCGGTCGTCTCATTCTTCCAGCCCCTGGTTGGTCTTAGTTAGTCCTGGTCTTCTCCTACTTTTGTCTAGACTGATACGACTCTGGTTCAGCACGTGCAGGGATGTTGCAGTGGGTTTGTAACCTCGCTTACCCTTGCTGCCAAATTGATGGACAGTGCATTAGGGTGCCAATTGACAACAAAATGGCAAAAGAATGGAAGAGAACCGACGTTCCACGACTTTCAGCGCTACAAGTTGCTTGTCCTTCTCGACAAGGGGTATATTTAAAGTCTTCGTTAATCGAGATCTCCCATCCTGCGACAGGATTCAAGCCAAGCGAGTAGATTGTCCGTTAGCGAGCATCAGCCGCGCATATCATCAAACGCCTCCGAAAGTCAAGAGGGGCACCTGAAAGTCTAAGTCGGGGGGAAAAAAAACCATAATAAATGACGGATTAAATTTCGTAAGACGAAAACGAGGAAATTAGCCTGATAGATCGTCTTCCTGCGTGCAGAATAATATTAATCATAATTTAGCTTATGGTCAGCCCGAAAGAAGGATTGGAATCCCAAACCACACTTGGAGTCAAACAGGCCATTAGGGCCATGACTAGATTCAACTGCTCACCATGGAAAGATTCCGAGCTATCTTCTCTGCCCATACTTATCCCCGCGCTCCCTCGTGTTTTTTTCTGATAGACTTCCATTGCTCTTTGTTTCCCTGCCCTGTTTATCCTTGTACCGAGGATTCGACCTGTTTATCTGCCTATTTTAACAGTTCATACCATTCTGGAACTGCTTGGCATCCATTCTCATATTGCCATCCCTCCGCTGTCCAGACTAGTTGCGCTTTCGCGCACATGTACTGTTGCTGGCTACACAGGGACCCTGGATGGTGGCTTTGGAAGAGGAATCAATGAATATTGAGGTTGCAGTGCATTCGGTGGGGGACACAATGTCAGCCATCTCGAGTCCAGAAGGCCCAACTATGTCTCAAACGACGGACAATGGCGCGGCACCGCAGTCTGGCGATTTTCGGTGCGGTATTTGCAACAAGACTTACAGTCGACGTACGTAGCCCTTCTAGAGCATAAAATATGTACCAAGATGCAGAAACTTTGCGTTGTCTGTATTTCGAAGGACCATAACTAACGGCACACAGGCGACCTCCGCGACCGACACCGGCGACGGTGTATCAAGACCGCCGGCCAAGAACGTCTGTCGAAACGCAAATCCTGCGAAACATGCGCGCAAAAGAAGCTACGTTGCTCTATGACTCGACCCGCGTGCGCTCGTTGCGTGCAGATGGGCACTGCATGCCACTATCCCCCGACATCCTTGCCGCCTCGGATCGCTGATCCTCAAGATACTCCTCCTACATCATCCGCCTCGGTCGCTTCATCTAGATCGGGTCAATCGACACATTCTTCCAACGCCATGGGCCGCAATATGGTTACGGACACTTCCTCAGCCATGGCGTTGGACGACGTTCCCCATTCGGGCACAAATGGCACTCATCCGCTGCCCGCGCCCGGCCATCCATGCAATCCTACACCCAACCACTTCGACCCGATGTCTGCAACAGGGTGGAATCCTTTCGGGACCACGAATATGGACTCCATGGTGCGGGCGTGGACGGATCTTTGTTTAGTCCCAGTGGTTCCCTATCTTGGGGCGACGACTTCACGCCGCTGACTGATCCCATGTCTGTCGGAAATACCTTCGCTGGCGCCATGGACGAGTCAACCAACCCAGGATCATCATACTTCTTGCCCCTTCATGAAATCTCCAAGCCAGTGGGATCGTTAGAGGCTCCCCAACAAGGTGCATTGGCAACAAATTCCTACAACCCCAACTCTCCTTATAATGTTCCATCGCTATCATCCTCTTCTTCAGACAGCCATTATCGGGATGGTTCCAGTCGCGGCGAGGAGAACGATGCTACACAGGGACTGCTTCGCGGTGACCATTCCCCGAGATTGACACTTGGCTACCACTTTATCCCAAAAGTCGGTCCATTTGCTATGCGAGATTACGATGAAGCCTACCGAGACCTGTTCTCCGTGTTCCGCGAATATCCCGGTATGATTCTAGAGCGGGAGTTCTGGTCGCCCTTTGTGCACCATCGTCTGTACCGTTGCTCGATGGGTGGTATGGCCGAGCCCATGGGAATCGCCTTGGCCTGTGTATCGGCACATGCCAGTTCTGTCGAGTCAAGCTATGGATTTGTAGATCGCATGATTAACGAAGAACGCGACAAGCTCGTTCGCAACTTCCACAAACATGTCGACACCCCTGAAACATGCCTTGCTGCCGTCCATGCCGTCTGCCTGTACCAGATCCTGGGCTTCTTTGGAGATAACTTCCTGCCCGCTGCCATTGTCCGCCCCCAAATCCCTAAGGAGATCAACGATAAACGCCGCGAGGAAAATGAGCGAGCGGCTGAGTTGCACAGTTCCTTTCTGCTCAAGGTAAGCACTCTATCTTTATGTTACCTACATCTCTACCTCGGGTGACTATGCTAACCAGTCTCAGATGGCTCGTCGACTATACAAGATGCATCAAGAAAAGCTCTTAACCCATCACAGCGATGAGAGTGACTGGAACCGGTGGAAATATGCCGAATCTCTTCGTCGGAATTTCTTCTTCGTTAACATGATAAACATCCTCGGGGCAAGAGCGCGTTTACTCAACGAACAATACTTTGAGCCTCTCGGCGATGACATCGTCCTCCAGCTGCCTCTTCCGGCTCCGGAGCATATGTGGCGCTGTTGCGACGAAGAGGAGTGGGCGATGGCTCGTGAGCACGCGTTGCAGCGGCCGGCCAACAGCCCTCCCGCGCCTCGAACATTGCGCGAGTTGTTAGAGCAAGACAAGGCAGGGGCCTTGGACACTTCTACGTTGTTGCCCATTACTCGACTGATTTTCGCATGTGCCAAGGTTGCCCCGAAGGGCGACTTGCTTGGTAATTTATGATTTACGGCCACAATCTATTAGCTTTCTCCTATTCTCTCGAATTTTGCATCATGGATATACACGAATTCATCTATACACAGATCGATGGTTTGGGCGGGTTGTTGATAGGCAATTTCCATATTCAGAGTATATACGTCTGTTATCCCATTAGCTAGACTCCAACAAAACATACTATGACCTTTCCTCTCCTTGACTAGCTGTTTGCCTGTCCGTAAAACTGCCGCGATGAGTCTCCCCGGACTCGTATGCTCACCACATGCACCGGAGTGAAGTGGTATAGCTTATCTTCTGTACAACGTCTATTGGCCACGGACATTGTTGGTCGGAGGAACGAGCCTAAGTTTCTGAGGGGAATGGTCGAAGTAAAGACGGGTGGAATCTTGGTCGCATCTCTTGTGATTTTCCAAGGCCTACCCTTCCTATACTTAAAACATTGGACCTGGCAATCTTGGCTAAATACATTTGTCAAAAAGCCTACATACTCATTTCATTTACATTTGCCTTTTGTGAAAAGAATGTTATGGACATTTCCGACACACGACTTCTTTGTGTGCTAACTACCACTAGTACTTTGTACTAGTGGTAGCGACGGTTGAAATCTGCGGCTGGCATCCTGGGATCTGCATCCTAGGGCTCTGACCGTCACTCTTGTCTTGCCTTAGCCACACATCCCGTTGTTGACGCTTATGCATGAAGTAATTATTACATACTAGATGACAAAGATGCTGACGGGATTGTAAGGAGACTGAGATTTGGCGCATACACATATGGTGGATTCTGACGGAGAGATCCAGAAGTGGGATATGATGTTTATGCTGATATGGCAGCTCTGGAGATAAACAATACATGTGATATCGGTGAACTGCTTGTTGCCTACCAGAGTCTTTTCAAGGAGTTGTTTAAACGCATTGTAATCTGTAGGATGCTAGTTTGTACATGGAAATATATATCGGATATGTGGTATGTTTTCGACTTTCTATGTTGCAATTGGTCAACTGCTACTAGATCAGGCCGGACCCCCCACGGTGTATACTAAGTTCATTATACACCTATAGAACCTTCCAACAATGTTCGAATGGAATAATATGACAGGCAACTGTATCCCAAGGCAAAAGTCCCATGGCTGGACTGCCACATGTTTGACAGGGATAAGACTAGCATGCCAATCCCAAACTAATCCACACGTGGGAAATAACGATTGGCAAGAGTCTTGTTTTTTGGCCCCCTCGCAGACCCACGAACCGTTGATGTACGCAGGACATAAACTCCGACGTTAGCAAGGCCCGGTTTCTGCAACCCGGCGCAACGGAGACGAATGTCCTGCATGGACGCCCCCAACGCCGAAACCCTGTCTCCACGAGGCCGAACTAGCCCCAAACTAGCCCCCTCGTTCTCGCATAAGACGACCACATGGTAGAATGCTACATCGTATTGACGTGAGCTACCTACTAGTACATGTTTCAGCTATTCTGGACTACACCTATACGAGACATATGCGTGAATCCTGTCTGTGCACTGTTCGCTTCTCCACCGGCTATCCCTGCTACGGTTGATGAGTTGTTCTTGCGTGCTCGGCGACGATCTTCGCTACCAAGCTACACATCGTTCGGACTTATGTAGGATGTGTCTAATGCGTGGTCTGCCAAAGTCAATTCGACTTTCTGGCTCGTTTAATTATATCGTATCTCGGCCTGGGTTTGGGTATCTGTGCGTAGGTTTATAAGGATGCGATGAAGATATCCTAAATATGGCAATAGATGGAATTCATCTTCACGGTCGGCCGAAAGTAAGCGCTTGTATGTACGTAACTAGAGCTTCAGTAGCGTTATCGTCCCTGTTGCCACTTAGCCCTACGACTGTGATTAGCAGAACAAGTTGATATAGCCCCGGTATATCTAAATGCAACGGCGATAACGATTAGACGCGGCAACAGTCGCGCAAAGCACGACGGACACGTGGAAGCGCGTTTAAGGAACAAATTACGATCGGAGCAGCGAGCCACGAGGCAGCCATGTGTCCCAGATACGCCCTGGAGATCGATCATTGAGGCGGTGCAAGGACACCTAAACCCGACATGACCGGGGTAAACACGTTTCTACACTTCGCACGACAGTAATCTCCGACAAGATCTGGAGATCTAGGCCCAAAATACTGCACCTCGTGGATCCTCATCGCGGATGAGGGCCAATCAGCTCAGCTTATGCTCGGACTTTCCTGGATCGGTCTGCACTTCCCGCGTGTGTTAGGCGGCTACAGGCCTTGGAATGCAGTGTACCTGCCATTGAGAGGCTTAGTTGCATGGTGAGATGGGAGGACGGGGACGGTGGTCTATGGTCACGGCTGGAGTTGGATGGTACATAGCGAGGTGTTCAATGGGATTATCGAGGGTATATAACTTTGCGAGATTCAAGGGTTTAGAGTCATCAGCAGCAGCTTTAGCTTTGGCAATCAATACTAGAAAGCGATTTGGATTATACTGTTGTATGAACTGAGCGTTTGTTGAAGCAAGTCTTATTTGTGTCTCTTTATATCCTTCAAGATGATTTTCGACTCCAAGCTGCCTCTTCCCCCAGTCCCTTCGTGCGACGCCTTTAACTATATATTCCATCAAGGTCGGAGGGATTATTCCACCGACCGCGTGCTGTATCGCGTCGATGGCTCCGATGAGACCTTGACGTTCGGAGAGCTGGAGCAGAAGAGCAGGCAGTTCGCCGATGCTATTCGCGAGTACTATGATATCGAGCCGAATGATGTCGTCGCTATCCTCGCCAAGGACAAGGTATGTTTACACTGAGGTACTGGTGCGATGATCATATACTTATAGTGATATTCAGATCCAATACCCCATTGCCTACTACGGCATTCTCGCAGCTGGCGCTGTGGTTGCTCCAATTCCCGTACAGAAGGAGATGTCGGAAACCGACGTCGCCGCTCGACTCGAACAATCCAAAGCCAAATTGGTCATCACAGATTCAGATCTGCTCCGCCTTACAGAAGTTGCATCCATGCTGGCTGGTTGTATCTCAGTGATGACCCTGGATGCCAACGACCAGAACTGGCCTTGCGTTGACTCTCTCCTCCCCTTGGGGAATCCCGATGCCCACATCTTTGAATTGAAGACCCCAGAAGAAGTCGACCAGCACAATGCCTTCATCAACCGAACCAGCGGTTCCACAGGCACGATGAAGTCCGTCCTCACCAGCCACGCCCACTACATCGCCACTATGGAGGCCACGGTGGGGACCATTCCCACCGATACAGACCCAGATCGGGATGTGTGGGTCTCTCCTCTCTCGCTGGGTTTCTTCATCAACGCAAAGCTTCACATGGGCCTGAACATTCTCCTTGGTATCCCCGTCGTGCTCATGAAGCACACTCTTGACGAAACCACGGTCGACGTTGTCGCCCGTCACCGCATCACTTTCCTCTTTATCACACCCCCCATTGCTGCCCGTCTTGCCCGTGCCGATCTGCGTCACATCGACGTCTCGAGCGTCAAATGGCTCTTGACTGCCGGTGCACCCATGCACGAAAACCTGCGTCGCACCGTCTCGCGCCAATTCGGCGGCGTGCACCTTACCCTCGAGTGGGCCACCTCCGAGACCATGCTCCTGGCCATGCAAGTAGACGAGTGCTCCAAGCAGCCTGGTTCCAGCGGCACACTGGTCAACGGCATCCAAGCGAAAGTGATCAACGTCGAGACGGGGCGTGAATGCAGCTACGGCGAAGAGGGCGAGATCCTGGTGCGCAACGCCATCGCCCGGTTCAAGGGGTACAAGGACAACGAAGTGGCGAACCGTGATTTCGACTCCGAAGGCTGGTTTCATACCGGTGACTACGGATACCTGGACCAGAACTGCAATGTCTATATCGTGGATCGCATCAAGGAGCTCTTGAAAGTGGGTGAGGGCTACGGATCTCACGTGTCTGCCGCCGAGATCGAAGCCATCCTCTTTGAACACCCCGCTGTGTCTAGCGTGGTGGTCGTTGGAGTCCGCAACACCGAGACCCAAGTCGACGAGCCCACGGCCTTTGTCATCCCCAAGCCAGAGTACCGCAACAGGACTGCCCAGGTCACTCGCGACGTCGAACGATATGCCCGGGCTAAACTCACCGGTCTCCGTCGCTTGACGGGTGGCGTCCACTGTCTTGCTAGCTACCCTACAACCGGCTTCAAGATCAACCGCAGAGCTCTAAAGTCGATGGCTCCGCCCAAGATGCCGAAGATGCCAACTGTTCCTTCGTGTTTGCGGCCTACTATGTCTGCCATCTCGGCGATGCGGATGGTTTGATCGGTGTTGCTGAAAATTGTTTTTTTCTTTTCTTTTCTTTTCATCTCGTTCTGCGATGGCGTTGGATGGCATATACTAGATTTCTTTTTCCCTTCTCATGTTTCGTTTTTACCTAGACATGTCGCTTATGATACCTGTACAAGAAAGACATGAATCACGAATAGATCATTCCATTTACCAATTTGCCTTTCCAGACTATTTCTCCAAATAAGCCTTGACCAATCTCTTCTCATATATCTAGTATGTTAGCTGAGACCGAATCAGGTCAGCTTAGGTCATGTACTATCGAGAATCGGTACGGTAAGCAAAACATGGCAAACCTTTAGCTAGTATATTGCCACTCTAGAATAGGAAAGACCCGCCTGAGCTGAGGTCTCCAATGCTCTTTCCATAGACGCCTCAGGAGAGTGAGTACACTCAGCCTATCGAAGCAGGCCACATCAGTGGAGGTCAGCAATCTTACCCCACTCTTGCCAGCACCACAGACATCAATCAGCCTTGCGAGGACTTGTCTATGGATTCTCCCCCACCACCTAGTATAGACTCGAAAACAAGACTTTGTATCACCTACTCTCGGTTGAAAAGAAAGAAGTGCAGCCCAAGAGAGATCGTGATCAGTATTCTTCAACTTGACATCCTCTACGACCATGGCCGCGTTTACGTATTCAAAGCTTCCTCCAGGGTCTGATATGACCCGCATGCTTCGCCTCTTTCCTCATAAAGACAGTAACGCTCAAATTAGAGGCGAACTCATCGAATATGAGTTGTCAGATACCGACGGTAGAAAGCACCTTTACGAGGCGCTTTCTTATGTATGGTATGAGGGCGAGGAGAGCAATCACAGGGAACCTTGGTCAATCATCTTGAATGACTGTATATTCCCTGTTACGAGAAATCTCTATGCAGCGCTCCTACACCTGAGAAATCACCAGTTTGAGCGAATGCTTTGGGTTGATGCCCTTTGTATTAACCAGAGTGATAACGATGAAAAGCAAAGGCAGATCCCATTTATGCGGACAATCTATGCACAGGCTAATTGTGTCATTGTCTGGCTTGGAGAGGCTAGGGACAATAGCGACGAAGCGTTTGAAAAGATCCGTTTTCTAGCAGGAGACAGTATAAGGCATCAATCCTCCTCTGGCGAAGTCATGACCGATGACTCTACTGCCCAAAGTACGACGATAGTAGACCACGCATGTTCAAAGCTGCTACAGCGAAACTGGTTTCGCCGCATATGGGTATGAAAGACTTCTAAATTCTCTACACACATTATTAACAACTAAGACCAGGTGCTTCAGGAAGTTGGTGTTGCACGATGCATCTCTATCATGTGTGGCCATACTGAGATGAATGGCTATACATTCTGTGAAGGTTTCAGGAGATTAGAGTTTTCTTCGAGTATACTGAGTCATATCCACCCAGTCATCCATATAATGAGAGACGCAATATTTCGGCCAAAGTATCGGCCTGCTTGGCGTGGAGCCTCTCTATAGGTGAGCTGATTGGTATGTACCGAAACCACAATGCCACCGTGCAGCATGATAAAGTGTATGCATTGCTGGGCTTGTGTGCTGATGACCCGAAAGTACATGCTTTGAAACCCAACTATTCCCTCAATTGGGGTGATCTCCTCAAACAGGTAACTACTTACATTCTGGGAGGGGATTGCTCTGTGCAAACATGGCCTGATAGGGATACAGCAGTAGTCAAATGCAAAGGATGGATATTGGGTTATATTAATCATGTTGGGGGGAGAGCTCCTGGAGATGGCCGAGCAAATTTCAACATCGAGTTCGATCGTGCTGCTAGCTCGGTGAACTATCACCTCCATGGGATAAGATATTGGACACTCAGAGATTCTGGAAAGCTGATCCAGGAGGGCGATGTTCTCTTCCTTCGACCAGGGACTCCGAGCCCGTGTATTATCAGACTGCACAAAGACCATTTCGAAATAGTCATGACGGCGATAACACCACAGAACACAGACAAGGCGAGTTTCAACCTGCAGATTCAGGAATGGCATTCTATAGATGGCTTTCTTCACGATATTCTTCTTACGTGGAAAATACCTCGGGATGGTACAGATGATTATATTGGGTTGCAAAGTCCAATAGAACTCATGAATGCAGCACCAGAGTTTCAGGAATGTCCTTACCAGGCGAAGGCAAGGCTACACAACATGGCTTCCGCTGTGAAAAAGGTTGCCCACATAATCTTACAGAGAAATTTGGAAGTAACCTTGTCAAGACCAATATTTGAACACATGCTTGTTCAATGCGCAGAAAACTTTCCATTCTGTGAAGATGTGGTCAAGGCAGCAGCAGGATCCGGCGGGGAAACAAGTTTGGAATTGCTTTTTCAATACGGTGGAGAGAGTTTACCGATTACTGAAGATGTGGTCAAGGCAGCGGCAGGAACTGGGGGATATAGATGTTTACAATTCCTTATCCGACAACAAGGAGAGAGTCTACCAATTACCGAGGAGGTGGTCAAGGCAGCAGCACCATTTGAAAGAGGTTTAGAATTGCTTATCCAGCACCGAGGAGAGAGTCTACCAATTACCGAGGAAGTGGTTAAGGAAGCGACAAGAATTGGGGGATATAAATGTTTACAGTTGCTTTTACAGCACCGAGGAGAGAGTTTACCAATTACAGAGGAGGTGGTCAAGGCAGCAGCACGATCCAAAGGAGGTTTGGAATTGCTTATCCAATACCGAGGAAAGAATCTACCAATTACCGAGAAAGTGGTCAAGAAAGCGGTAAAAATTGGGGGATATAAATGTTTACAGTTGCTTATCCAGCACCAAGGAGAGAGTCTACCAATTACAGAGGAGGTAGTCAAGGCAGCAGCAGGAAATGCTGAATATAGATGTTTGGAATTGCTTATCCAACTCCAAGGAAAGAGTCTACCAATTACTGAGGAGGTGGTCAAGGCAGCAGTAGGAGCCAGGGATTATAGATGTTTGAAATTGCTTATCCAACACCGAGGAAAGAGTCTACCAATTACTGAAGAGGTGTTCAAAGCAGCAGGAAATGCTGAATATAGACGTTTGGATTTGCTTATCCAAAACCTAGGAAAGAGCCTGCCAATTACTGAAGAGATGTTGAAGGCAGCAGCAACAAATACTTCACGGCATGCATACGATATTGTATATTTACTCCTCCAATACCGAGCAAAGAGCCTACCAATTACTGAAAATGTGCTCAAGGCAGCAGCAGCAAACAATTCACCGTTTGGAGGTATAATTACGCGTGAACTCATCAAACACCGGGGAGAGAGTCTACCCATCACTGAGGCGGTGGTGGAGGCAGCAGCTAAGAATGAAACCCCAAAAGCCTTGCAAGCTCTCTTAGAGTATGGAAAAAACAGCCCACCAATATCCGACAATTTCATTAAGGCAGTCGCTGAGCATTGTACACCTCAAAACCTGCGGCTTCTCATACAATATCAACAAAAGAACATACCGATAGATGAAGAAGGGAAAGAATAGCACTAAGAAACACAGACTCGGTCTATGGGGTAACATAAATATGCCGAACTACAGACTTTTGCCTTCGGCTTCTCGATTCCTGCTAGCTGGTTGATTCTTCTCTGTTAGTATCCCTACATCAAAACGACCCTACTCTTAGTGAACACCAAAAGAGTCAAACCGCTATAGGCTATGTATTAGGGATGTTATGGTTTCTATATTGAGTTGCTTTTATGTAGGGTTTACTGCATTCATTGTTCACTATATATTCCAAAACTTAGACCCAAAGATGATATGCCATTGTATTGCCTTATCTCCTCTTCTACCATACCTCTTAGCCCCCTCCATTCTCATCTCCTCAGGTTTTCGCCCACCGAGATCCATTCCTTCACACGGAGGACGCTGAGTCTCTGAGGTATATGAAACAATCCCAGAAAGGTCTCCACCGCCAAAGCCCACTCTGGTTTGGGGCCACTTTTAGTCTACCCGAAATACAATATCACGACAGGTGGGAATTTATGGGGCCTCATGGGGAGAGATCAGTTAGGTATAGGTGGGTCGGTGGTACTTTACAGCTTCTACCCTTTGGTTCATGGCCCATAGACTAGTATGGGACGAAAGTGGGTCTAAGATTGGTGATTTCGGGTCGGGTTCGGGTTTGCTTTGATTCGAAGAGGTGTGTAGTAAGGAGGATTACGCGCGGGTGGATGGTGTGTTAATATGTGTTTGTTTTATTCTATAATGCAGGTATGGACTATGAGTGATTTGGTATCAATGTCGGTGCGGAATATAGACATGGAAGGGAAGTAAAATACGCCACCAAGTAAGGGTAAAGGACAAATGAAAAGAAAAGAGAGAAGAGAGAGGACCAGAAGAGGACAAAAGAAGGAGTAAGGGAATTTATACAAAGCACTAAACTTCGTGCAACCTAAAACACACCCTTAAGTCCGCCCCTCTTGAACCCTCCCCAGATGACAAATTTCGCTTCGGAGACCTCTCCGACATCATCTGTTTGTCCTAGTTGCTCGTCGTTCGGCAGCAGGATCACGTTCCGAGGGTACAACTTCCCCAACAGAGCCAGGGCAATCGTCGGATCGTCGACCGGTATGACATGGAATCCGACCTGCTCGGCTGTGCTCAGTCCCCATCCGGGCTGGATGAGTATCTCGGATGCCGAGTGCAGGAAAACCGTATGGTTGGTCGTACTGTCGCGTGTTTCTTCGAGTGCCTCGTACGAGTGTCGCAGTCCGCGGGCGATCTGCCCGACGTCTACCCTTGCTGTGTCGCCGTTCTTGAACTCCAAACGCAGCTCGAGACCACGGACCGCCGACGTCGAGGACCCTGCTTGAAGCCTTATGCCGGCTGTTTGGAGCTCCTCCTTTTGACTCGGGAGGTCGATGGGGTAGCGAGTTAAGATCGTCGGCGGGCCTGTAGGCATGTCTTCGCGCGGTGCTTCATAATAATCAGGGAAATGATAGTCGAAGAGAACCTCCATCGCTGAGGAGTCCATCTTAGATGGCACATATCGCAACAGATGGTATGGGACCACCCCACCTGCCAGTATGGCAGGGAGGATCAGACCATGCGTATACTGGAACCCGTACCCGCCCGTCATTGTGACGGGGAGGTCTGGGGCGAGCACTGCCCGGGCCAAGGTCACGACAGAGGCCTGCGTGATGTGTCCGGAGAACACGGTGGTGAGGAACCTTTCCCGTGGTGCTTCGAGGTGGCGAATGCCGCGTGCCCGGCCGTCGACTGGGATCGGGACGGCGTAAAAGTTCTGGAAGGGGAGTAGCGCATCGCGCAGCACTACCATCTGGCGCATGTATTCACTGAGCAGTTGCATATGATGGGGCCGGGTGCAACGGGTATACATCAACGCCAGACTGGACTGGAGGAGGAGATGGCCATCGCCGGGACCGCGCAGGTATAGGTCCGGGTCGTATGGTTCGTTGGTGTATTCGCGTGCCCACTGGACCAGTACCTGGCCTATTCGGCGGGCTTGGTCTCTAATCTCGCGGCGGCTGATGTCTGAGAGATCGTACAAGGGCAGTGAGGACTCCCGCATGTCCGTGGATAGATTGGCGGCGACGTTGTCTAGCAGGACCATGCGGGCGGGCTTTGCATGTGGTGGATCAGGGCCTAGATGATGCACGACAGCATCTAGCAAGGGCGCGAAGCGTCGGACTAGCTCACGAGCCGTGTATACTCCCGCGGGGATTGACCAGCTTGTGGGTGAGCCATGTCGGCGGTCGGGAGGTGTTATAGCTGGTTCTGCTTGACACGCTCCTGGTCGCCCGCAACCGTACATCGAGCCCTCAGAGAGAGAAATATTCGCCATCCTGACGGTCACCAATTAGGGAGGCAGCACCGTCTGAGCAGCAGAAAAGATCTCAACCTGGAGACGTGAGAGCGGCAGAGGGCCGCTCTGGTGCGAGCAGGCCATTCTAATATGAGCGCGGAGCGAATTTGCTGGTCTCCGGGCATGGCGAAACTGACATACAAATGAAGTATTCCGAGGTGATTCCATTCCAGGGCCGCCGGAGCAGAATTGAATATGATCTCCCGGAGAAAGGTGGGTATGACCACGGATCTCCGAAGAGAAGCTTTGATCCAAGATGGCTACTATTTAAAGAGGGAGCATCACCCACCCGAAGGTCAGGAATAAAAGGCACTAGAGCTCCGTAGCGTAAGCCAGGTCACGTTTTTTCCACAACCCCTCCCCGTATTATCAGTAAAACATGGCATGCCTTCTGTGTATTTCAACAGAGAGTTCCGTTCCCAACATCATAAAGAAATTAAAACTTAATCATTTCTAAACCATGAGTTCCCAGACGGCGGTTTTCACCGGGACGGAAGGCAGTTATCTTTTGCCTCACCATGTCACCGAGGCGGATCGCCTCCAACGTCAGCATCGCCATTTTACAGTTGCCTCGAATCATACCTATTTTGGGTTCCCTCTGCCACCGCCAACAGGGCGCCCATTGCGTGTCCTCGATAGTGGGTGTGCGGACGGTACGTAGCCAGCTTGTAAATCGTGGACTGGGCTGAACAAAGTAGGGGTCTGGTTGCACGACATGGCGCAGCGGTATCCGGAACATTCTTGGGATCTGCACGGCGTCGATATCGCGTCCCATTTATTCAATGACAGCGTAGATATTGACTTTCGCTACCACGACATACGACAGCCTTTCCCGTCGGACTGGCAGTGGGATGGCTCTTTTGATATTATTCATCAGAGGTTGCTAGTATGGGCCCTGAAAAAGGAGGAGTGGCCTCAGGTTGTACGAAATTTGAAAGCATTATTAAAGCCTGGTGGTACTATCCAGTTCGTCGAGTGTCAATGGCTGCGCCCAGAGTACTGGGACACTCACCCACAGCAGCGTCTACTGGGGTTGGTGCAGATATGGGCGACAGAGGGAAACGGTATGGACATCCATCTCGCTGATAAACTAGAGCCGCTGCTGGAGGAGCTCGGGTTCGAAGATGTGACGACGGTCCGATACCCTCTACCATATGGTGCTAAGGTCGAAGACCCTGCCAACCGCGATAAATCGGCAGAGCTGTGGGTAGAGAGCTTCCGCCATTTGGCGAGGCTGATGGGTGGTATGTTTTCCTTTCGTACCTTGCGCAAATGCACGCTGACTGGAGTAGATGAGGGGATTCCAGGCGTCGCGAAGACTCCAGAAGAATATTTCGCTTTTTTGGACCGGCTGGTGGTGGAGATGAAAGAAAAGGGCTACGTACCGGAGCTGCGCATGGTGTCTGGTCGGAAGGCGTAGCTAGATTGAGAAACTTTGAAAAGAAAAACAAGGAACAAAAAGTACAGTCAAAAGGACCTTTAGTCAATGTACAAATTATCTCCGATTTCATAAATTCACGAGGTGCGCGAAATGCTCAGATATGACACAAGAACCAAACATCTCCGAGATGCCAAGCCGACCATTTACGTCCGAAGTGAATAAGTATACTCACGGTGCAGCAATCTACCCCCGCTAAGATGGGTTTGGATACACTCCATTCTGTGCCTGATCTTCGTGGTTTTTTGCAGCATTCCACAGTCGCACACACTGGCAGACAAAGGCATATCGGGGATATACCATTGCATACCCTCCGTTCAAGGCGGAAGGTAAAGGTTCCTCTGCCATTTCTTACTGTTCACATCTTAAGAATGCTTCGTTCCTGCTGTGACCAAGGTACATCCACTCTGTTGACCGTAGATATGACCAGAAAGTCTGTAGAAAGGATGGAAGGTATTACCAAGCTCAGATACATTAGCAGCACGATCAATAGCGCCAACTGTTTTCTCGGTCGGCTAGCATCAAGCATTGTGAAGTGCGACCCGACAAATATATTGCCAGTTTCTTTTCTCCAAACCCAAGTGCACTTCCACAGTCCAGGGCTCGCCCATGGCAGAATTTTCGTGGGGGCGAAACTGGCATAAGGAAGACCTGGGCGCCCTGCAGGTAGCCCGCTGTATGACCAAGGTACAGCCAGAGTAATAAGATACAATTCAACAGCAGAGAACACAGAGCACTACGGTAGCTCTATTAAAACCCTGGACTGGACCCAGGATCGTATAGATATCGTTTCAATCCCTTATCCAGCTCCAGAGCCTCTCCAGGATGACCCTAGGCTTCGATGAAGCTACACCAGAATAATGTACTCGTGAGTCGGATTCTATAATCTTTCGGTAATATATCTTAGTACCTTAGGGTTTGAGAGCTACATTTTCCCCAAGTACGCATGCTCATGCGGTGTCGTGTACAACAGTTTAGCAGTGTGTTTGCTCGCGTTGATGGATCATCTAGCGAGAACAGCGGACGCGTGTAGAACACCGCTTATATCCATACAAGAAAGATTAGCCTCATTGACAATCTGCCACGCGAGAGTGCACTCGTCATGGCCCACGATTAGTTTGATGATATCGATCAGACTAGACGTTCTGCAGCGAACAATGCTGGGCTCTTTACTCCCAAATAGCCGTGATACATCGCTAACGACCTCGATAGGCCAGGAGCTCCCACAAAGGACAACTTAAGAGCACGGTGTAGTTCCTCGCGAATGGTTGTTAATCTCATCCATCCTCAGCTGCAAGGGCTCGTAAACAGTAACCATGAGCAACCAAGATATGCAAGGGGGAAGATTCCGATGGTTAAGGCGGTGGAGTGACAAAAAAGTCCTAAAGTGGACTGGAGTAATTACTGTCGAGTATGGGAGACGATTAGGCCACGGCAAGGTGGTGAGACTCGTCAAAGCACTCGCAGTACGGAGGTTTCCATAACTGCAGCTGTTAGGGTTGGAGAAATGGGGTCCTAAAGGGGCAGGAGAATAAGGAGGATACGCGATACGAAGCGTCGCAGAAAAACTTTTATCCGGCAATGGGGTAAGGCCCACTTGCCGAAATTTGCAGCATAGACTGCATAACTTGTGGATAAAGGGGGAATAATTCCGCATACTCAGGTCAATTCGACAATGAAGGCGTCCTTCAATCTTACACGGAGTGGGCAAAAGCATCAGCCCGTCGCCTTGGCTCAGTTCTCTCGCGGATGTGATTGGTGGCCCATAGATCCCCGCGTCTTTAGATTTCTTTTTAAGGACCAGGTTCAATACGCCTTCGAGAAGGGAAACTACCATACACTGTGTGCCCAAAGCCCCGTATATAAGCGGCCGATCGTCCGGTTTGGTGCCCTCAACAATATGCACTCGCCGTGTAACCTGGTACGGCAAGCCCTCGGATGAATGATCCGTGCCCAAATATCATGACAGACCCTACACCCAGTGTTCTTGAGAAGGGAGGCAAGGCGGAGGAGTCGACTAGAAGCTTAGAAGCGTACAACGACCTTGAAAATGTACCGAAAGAGGATGATATCACTCTAGTCGACTGGGATGGGCCCGACGACCCCGCAAACCCCTTTAACTGGCCGACTTCGAAGAAAGCGCTACAGTTAGTCTTCATGGCATTCAATACTTTTATCAGGTGAGCACGTGGAAAAACAGATAGACAAGGAGAGGAGACGAGGGCTGACGGACAATAGCCCTCTAGCATCCTCGATGTTCGCCCCAGGCGTCCAATATGTCATGCGCGACTTTCACACCACCGACCAGATGTTGGGATCGTTTATGGTTTCCGTCTACATTCTGGGATACATGCTAGGGCCCTTTCTCATCGCGCCCCTTTCAGAGATATATGGCCGTGTTCCGCTATACCATGCGTGCAATGTGATCTTCCTGGTGTTCACCATTGCTTGTGCCGTGGCGCAAACCTTGCCTCAGTTGATCGTGTTCCGTTTATTCGCCGGTATCGCTGGCGTGTGTCCCATCACCATCGGCTCTGGGACGGTCGCCGACATGGTGCCAGTGGAAAAGAGAGCCGGTATTATGGCTATCTGGGCTCTAGGACCTATCTTGGGACCTGTTGTCGGACCCATTGCGGGTGGGTTCCTGGCCGAATCAGTCGGCTGGCGGTGGGTGTTCTGGGTCCTTGCGATTGCAGTAGGTAGCTCTACTGCCATTTGTTGATAGAGTACGATGCTGACAGTCTAGACCGGTGTTATGGCAATCGGGTGTTTGGCGTTCTATCGCGAATCGTATGCCCCAGTGCTTCTACGACGCAAGACTGAGCGACTGCGGAAAGAGACCGGGAACCCCAATCTTCGCTCGGCCCGTGGCGACACCAAGATCACGAAAGAGCTGTTCACAACCGCACTGGCGCGACCCATGAAACTTCTTTTCCGTTCGCCGATTGTATTCCTGCTCTCCCTATTCGCGGCTGTCACGTACGGGTACCTATACTTAATGTTCACCACTTTGACCCCGATCTTCAGAAACACTTACGGCTTCTCATCTGGTCTGGCCGGCCTCGCCTACCTAGGCTTCGGTATCGGAAGTATTTTGGGTTTGGCAATCTGCGGTGTGGTTTCTAACCGCATCGCCGTTAGTCACACTGCACGCGGCTGCTTCAAACCAGAATCGCGTCTCCCCCCGATGCTTTACGGCAGCTGGGCAATTCCCGCCGGCTTGTTCTGGTACGGCTGGTCGGCGCAAGCACATACTCACTGGATTGTGCCGATTCTGGGAACGGGCCTTTTTGCGATCGGCCTCATGGTCGTGTTCATGGCGTCGAACACGTACTTGGTGGATTCGTACTTAAGGCATGCCGCGTCCGTCACAGCTGCTGCCACTGTGCTGCGTTCTTTGATCGGTGCAGTGCTCCCGCTGGCTGGCCCATCCATGTATGATGCTCTGGGATTGGGATGGGGAAACTCATTGCTGGCCTTTATTGCGCTGGTGATGTGTGTCTGCCCGTTATTATTTTACAAGTACGGAGAGTATATTCGGACTCATCCACGGTTTCAGATTGCCTTATGATGGGCATTCACCGCCTTTTCGTGTTTCAAAAAGCTTCCAAATATATGTAATAGAGTGCTCGATTCCCTTTCCTGTTCAAGTTCTTCATCTGCTGTTCTGTTTCAGTCGCTAGTCTCAGAGATTCCCCCTTCTTCAGCCAGGTTTTGCATCCGGAGTTAGCATATCAATGAAAGGCCAGTATCTGGTCCCATACACGCTTCAAAGATTCCAAAGCAAGCCCATATATGAGAATGCCGCAATCTATCGGATCATACGATCCAGCCACTCATGAACTCCGGGTTTCCTTGAGGTGATCTTGTTTGACTTCACTCAAACCCTGTTATCCAGGGTATTGCTACGGCGAAACCAGACATTCTACATTTGCATAATTATTGTGAAGTCGAAACAACAATAATCCGAGGTGCGTTCTGAATCAATAGAGTTCCTCATGACCAGATTGCAACCTGCCCCGCAGCCCCAAATCCGAAATTCCGAATACGAAGCGATGACTTAACTCTATGGTGGTTCTAGAATTCTCAATCATGCCATGCCACCTTGGATATCCTCCTCTCGCACTCAACTCTGATAACAAACTATCTAACCCACACATAAGCTGTATACACAATCTTCGAACAAAATGCTCATCGCCGTAGTCCCAGCTTCACCCAAAACAGGCCAGGCGGCAATCCGCGCCCTACTCAACTCAACCGAAACCACCAGGCCGATCACCGTGAAAGGCGTATACAGGGATCTCTCCCGAGTCCCAGAAGAGTTCCTTTCCAACCCTCATTTCCAAGCGGTCAAGGGCGATGTGAGCGACGCAGCAAGCCTGGATCTCACCGGCGTCGACGCCGTTCTCGCAATCACCCCTCCGCGATACGACGGCTCAGACTTTCTGGCTTGTGCAAGGACAGCATCGGAAAATACGCGTCTCGCCATCCAGAAATCTGGATCTGTTAAGCGTCTGGTTTTGCTTTCTAGTATGGGGGCTGAGCATGAGTCGGGGACTGTGAGTTTCTGTTCTATTTATCTGTGATGAAGAAAAGGAAATACTAAAGCTGCGACTAGGGGGAAATCGTGACGAACCACATCGCCGAAACAATTTTAAAGGATGCAGCACCGGAGGTTGTCATCGCGAGATGTACTTACTTCATGGAGAACTGGGCTATGGCGGTTGAGACGGCGAAGTCTGAGCATCCGCATTTCTATTCGTCTATCACGCCTATCGATTTCGAGGTCCCTATGGTTTGTTTCCTTTTCTGTCTTAAAATCGAGGTTGTTATGTTGACCAATAATCTGAACCAGGTCGCTGTCAAAGATATGGGCCAAGCATTTGCAACATATTTACTCAAGTCCGACATTCCAGAAAGTCCCTACATTGTTGACGTCCATGGACCGAGGTCCTATACGCCGAAAGACGTGCAAAGGGCCTTCGAAGAGGCTGTTGGCAAGGAGGTTGAACTGCGACTCGTGGAGAGGAAAGATCTATCGCAGTTCTTTGCGGGATTTCTCCCGAAGAACGTGGCTGAGGCTTTCACCGAGATGACCAATGCCTTTTTGCCGGGTGGTATTATGGCGAGTGCTAATACGGAGAATTCAAACAGTGATCGAGTCTGGAGGGGGAAGACTGAGTTGAAGGAAGCTATTCGGGAGCTTTGTGAAGGGTCTGGATAGGTGAAGGGTATGCAATAGCGATTTGTTCATTCATTCTAGGCTGTTGTTGGGACTGATTATATTGGTTTGTTTCCTTTTGCGTGAATTATCTGTGCATTGAAGTGTAATATCGGAAAAACTGATTCACAGGATTACTCGGTGTAAAGGTATAAATTGAGTCAAAAGCCGTGCTAGGATCCTTCTATCTACAAATCTTGTATAGCTACCACTTCTCTCGCTTTTAGAAATGTAATCCTCGTCTATCTTAATCAGTGGGGTTCGCATCTCCCTTCTACTTATCCTTGGTACCCCCAGTGGGCTGTCCTTCTCCTACACCGACATCGGCTCTACCATAAGGGTCCATCTTCTGGACTATCGGCAATAATTGTCCGCAAAACCATTGTATCAAAGCAGCTGCATGTTTACCCCAAACTATTAAAACGTACCCGCCAATCAATTTGGCCAAATTCTATTTGTCAAAGAAAATAGCAGCGACGATGAGTTTGACACTGGTACAGAATCGTCCGGTGACCCTCTGTCCCAAGTTGACGGTGTTTCTCGGATACAGATCATCATATCGCAACGATGCCCCATGGCTGGACTGGATCTTTATATTGCAAGTGCTTTTAGTAGTACCGAATAACCCCGCTGATTCAACAACTGGATGCCAGCGAGAAACAACGACGATCACCCTGAGCTCCCGAGAATACAGAAATCAAGTTCCAAGTGGCTCAAGCCGGTCGCATCTATACACAACGCGACTTGTTAATAAAAGGCAATTTGGCCTAGATACAGTCTTCGGCGGATCTTGTTATTATAACAAAAAGCTTTGGCGCCGCAGTTGAGCCTTATAGTAACTGCCAGGTCGTGGCCGTTGTTCAGCCGAACACAATGACTATCGATGACCAGCTGAATGCACTCGTCCGTTCTTCTCCGTGGGTAAAGGGGTATTTTGAATATCCAGAGGCAAGACTAATATAATATTAGTCCTATTTCAACTCCCATGCACACGATACCTGGTTCTGGTGTTGTACGAACTCACAAGCCCAGCACATATTCCGGCAACCGCATTGAAGGTGTGGATGCGCGCTGCCTCACTGTGGTTCAGAGGATGGCCTCGGTGAATTCGGCACCTGTCGCTGCTATCCTTGCAGACATTATTGTGGAGATCACTACCAGACTAGCCTTTCCGGTGGTTTACTTCAGAAATGGCTAGCAGACTTACGGACAGTCTCTTTGATGGCGAGGTGACCATGTATATGCTGTCAGTGGCATACTACTTCATTGCCTCGCGGTGTTCAAGGCTGTGAGAAAGCCATTTATCTATATCAAATCGAGTCGCCTCTCCACACCTTGCCACGTTTATGGCTAGGCCTGACGCCCGCCTCCGATACCAATGGGTTGGTATCTTTATCCGGGTCTATCGTTTGGCTTACATTATCTAGTTGTAGCGCACGAATTCAAAACGGCCCCTTATATGAGCCAATCACATAGGTTATTCCTCCTATCTAGGAGCATCAGTGGACGTGCTTTGCTTGTGAGAATCCTCGGCACCGACAGATGCAGCGCACGAAGCATGAAACTGCAGTGCGTAAAATATGTTTAACATTGTCTGTCATCCACTAGATCCCTGATACTCAAAGCAGGAACGTCTATAAGGAACCTGATTGACCTTTCCTTACCTCATGCTCTTAGCCCAAAAGGTCGATGCGCTTGGTCTCAACTCCTGACAGCAAACTCGCTGCTATAGGAGACCGAATACTCCGGACTACGCTAGCTCAGTTGGAAAGATATCTGGGAATGAGAGTGGCTGCTGCGCCATATGTGAACAGCACACTCCACCACCACCATCACCAAAGATCCTACTTTGTGTAGACGATCTTCAATCTTGTATTGACCGGAGGAAGGGACACTAGCACCTACAAGCAGGAATAACGCTGAATCGCGCCATGCTTGATCGGGTAACAAAAGGCAGGCGCCAGCCACCTATATTTATGTGGATATCGAAACCGATCGAACTGAATACAAAGCTGAGCTTGGGGCCATATTCAATACAGCTCACAATCTATTCCTCGCAGCCGTTCCAACCTTACGCGGCCTCTCCTGGTCGGTTGGACAGTCGAACGATTACAGTTTTCTCCCAGATTTAACAAGTCGCACCATATTAAACGAACCTGCTTTGATATTAGCTTTTGGAAGCTCTTCATCTCTAGCCATTGTATCCGACCCCTTACAGACCATTACACGCGATAGAGGCGTGTTACACCCGTCCCCTTTTGCTTTCTCTCCTATTAATAAGACCGTATGCGCATAGATAGAGCCGCATCCACCAAGTATCCGGCGCTTGCAATGGGCATAGCCTCAAGATTCGCAAGGGTCCAAAGGCTAAGGACCTATGTTTTATAAGCAGGTGGTCACACAGAACCCTGGTACCTAGAAGCAAGTCTCCCTAAGTATTTGTTCTGAATACTTTGAGCATATTATACTAATCGATCCCAGGTGAGTTAAATAGATTCTCGGTAAGACAGGAATACGCATGAATCCAGAATACAATAATCATCAAAAGTTGTGCGTGGATATTCTGAAAGAACATTCCTCTGCCACGCTAAGCTATATCGCCAATAAGACGACTATTACCAGCGCGGCTCAATATAAACCTCTCAATGACCCATATCAAGATAAGTATTACCAGTGTTTTAATATAATTACTGGTAGAGGTAATGCTATATATTCAGAATATCCAAGAACAAAAGACAGTCGAGTTGATTTTTAGATTCCGGAAAAGAACTGGAACTACTGAGAGAAGAGGACCGCGTTCATAAGCACATATCGCATTTTCACAAGGGAGCCGCAACAACAAAGCGTGTTCGGGTGTCACTCCACCGTGGAATTCATGCACGGGTTCAAGACTTTTACCAGTGTGACTATGGCCAGTGACAACAGTGGAACAGTCGAATCACAGATACAATGCGTGTCTTGCCCTACTTGACCGGTTATTGAGGTTGGTCTACAAGTCACCTTAAGGATGCACTAGACATCGCCTTTAAATCATTATATCTCTCCTAGTCAAGTATCTTCGGATCCAGCTTCAAATCAGACCTTGTCCCAAAGCACACCCACCCCGACATTGGGTGAGAACTCATCGTTGCAGTGCATATCTAGTCTTCGCGTATATCATGGCAGTAGTAGCCAGCAACGCTGTACCGACCCAAATCCATCGGCAAACAGAGCAGTTTGAATGGACTCGCGATCCCCTTGTCGTCAAATACGGAGATATGATGCCAGAAGAAATCCATGACATCAACGGTACCGCAGATTGGATTCAATATGCCTCTATCTGTACGATGCTGTCGGATCCGAAGTCATCTGGTCTGACTGGTTTAGTCCAATCTCTGTATCTAGAGGAGGTTCAAAGACCCACAGGCTTTTTGGGAGGAATATCACAAGGACAAATGGTGAGCCACCAAGTGCAATAAGACGCCTGCCTTATTGCTGGGGCTATCTTTGACTGTAAGAAGGAAGTAGACTCTGCCAGTCTGCTTTATGTCTGCAACCCTGGAAGACCTGGCTGGGTATGCACAAGCGCTCTAGAGGGATGAGCGGGAGGCCGATCAAGGGCGTACGTATCTTTGATCCCGCCAATCTAATGATAGAGTGAAAGAGGTCCATACCTAAGTGTACTCTTGGTTGCGAGGCCAAGGCTATTCTATGACTGCTTCAACAGGTAATTTGAGGCGATGGGGCTTATCCCCTCGCTGAGTCTTCATGTTCTGGCTTGATGGAAGGAAAATAGTGTCTCTGCCCCTGCTTGAGATACAAGATATGGAGTGCGCGGGCGAGGCATGTTACTCCTGGATTGCCCCAGTTATTAGGGTATATGGGTAAGCATCTATAGCTTCTGTATTGTGTATTTATCGCAAAACTGTATATCTAACATTGTGTTAGGTGGTGTGCAAATCGACCACCGAGATGCGGGAAAACCAGCGTCCTAACAGAGTCCAGACGCATTCCACTATGATTTCCTTGACCGTTATCCCAACAACACCGTAAGTAAGGAATCTCCTGCTTGATTTGGTAAATTTTCAATCCATCACTAATTAGTACAGTACACCGTAGTCACATTTTGTTGGGATTCTGGTCAAGGGCAGCAGATCTGGGATATAACCACGAGATCGTCGAACTGGAGACTATACATCTTACCTCCAGTGGAACAGCCTTTGGTTATAACCAAATTTCTACCGCATCCACCCATTCTTCATCTTCCCTGCATTACAAAGACTTCTTTGTGAAATGTCTCAGCCGTATTACATAAACTGCATTGGACAAGGTGAATTAGATACAAGCCCTAGTTAATCGCGGAACAACCCAAGGATTCCAACAGCAAGTCCAACAGCAAGGAAGCTTGCAGAAGCTGATTTATATCATTAAAAATCTCATTTTTAACTATGAGAAGGCCGAACTACTGAAGACCATATCTCTCAATGATGCCTCGTCATGCGCCGTTACTCTACTGTTCGTCGAAGTCCAGTTCTAAAATCGGATCAGCCTTTCCATACTATTACCATTAATCTTATCCTCAGTCTGCCAGACAACAGACAGTACAACGCTATTATATCTGTCACAGACATCTTTACCAAACACATAACGGCGATTTCAGGCCATGGTAACTGATCCGCTGTTCAGTGGGTCGACGTACTACTAGAGCCTATCCCCATCTAATTCAGGGTCTCACACGTATGGTGTCACACACTCATCCCTCTCGAAAAAGTCGCGGGACCCCAGGCTCAACACATAATGATTGCCCTCGGGTACAATATCTCAGCATCTCCTAGAAGATAAACACAGGGGAGCGAGAGATTTCGAGCACTTTGTCAGCATAGCCAATATATTGCACTGAGTTAACGATACTCAAAATCCGGCTTTTTAGCTGTATCTACAAATACATCGTCGACGACAGCGACAATAGCTCTGGATTGGGTTAAACAGAAAGAAAGGTAAGCATTCTATATTTATCTCGATCCTCACGGCCGGTTATAGTAACTTCCATATGATATAGTTTACCAAGCCCAACCTCCCACACGCCATGCAGAAGCATTCTTGGCTGAAGCCAAGTTCTATTACATATTTCTGGTAAATCAGGCTGGTGCTTCAGCAGACTTCAATTCGAAGACTTTGACTTCCCAAGCCAAATTATCTTCAATCGAAGCCCGAAGTTCATTGCAGATATTTGGCAATGTACCTTCTCGGTGCTACAAGTGCACACGGTATATTCTACATCCTGGCCCTCGCAAACGGAGGGTTCCTCGAAGATAATGAATCAGACCATCGAGCTCATGCACCTCACGTAGAGGAGTTTTGTGGCATCTGATCCTGCTAAGGATTGGCTCAAGCACATTGGTTTCGATGACAGCACGTAGGCATCAAACGCACCAGATATCCGGCATAAGGTCCAATAAAAAACCGACAAGAATAGAATCCCGGTGATTCCCAGTTCCTTCTGAGAGCCTCTCCCTCCAGCTCGAGAGCTGTATTAATGGCGGCTATGAGTACGAGCCCACTTTCTAATACTTGCAGTTGCTTCTAGCGTTCTGCTTGCTTTTACTATGCATTGCCATTCAGAGCTGCAATGCCGCACGGATAATGGAGACCGAGGCCCGGGCTGAATACAAGATGGGGGACGGGCCAGGAGCCTCGTTGAAGTCCTTGGGTTGAGGACGGGCTGATCGAGGAGGGGCAACAAAGTGGAAGACTGAAATAACGACCTGGTTACCCGAAGAGCACGATTAGCCGGCACCGAATACGAGATTGTCTGATGGATGGGTCCTTATAGCTATTTCTCTATCTCAGTGAAAGAACACTCATCAAAATGGCCTCTAGATTTTGATACCAATGGAAATGTTCGGAAAACCCGCGTCTAAATGATCCTTTATGTGACTGACTCGGCCGATTAGAGTTCAATGAGCTAGTTATCTAGCTTAATTTAATCATCATCCATCTATCTGATCATCCAAGGCTTCAGACCGGACGATCATGTATCATAATGACAACTTTTGTTGAAGGCCGAGCAATGTATATGGTATTGCCATATTCTATAAAACTTTGGACACGAACATTCAGTTGTTGCACGTTTCGCACAGAACTATGTCGCGCTGAAGATGTGGTTGAGCAGTGTATCGCAGCTCTGGCTGCAGAAGGCGATCAACACATAGCTGGGATCACGCCAGTCCAACTACTGGTTAAATATTCATTCCCAGTTGCATCAGGGACCAGTTCCGGTTGTCACTCAGTATTGCCAATAATCATACTAGATCACAAGACACGATTCATGGTTTATGATATATCACATAAAAGATGGACGTGGAAATCAAGAGTGATAGAGATAGTAGTAGATATGTTCCGCTCTCACAAATTAAGAGAAAATGAGAATACTTACCCTTATCCAACATACTCGAGCTTAAATTATAATGCAATCAGTGTCTGGTAAGGCAATAAGGCAGATAATGAGCAAGAAGCGAACGGTACGAGCGGACCGAGGAACGGTACGAATCCAAGGCACGACTCCGCACGGACTAGATGCATATCCCATGCATACGGGTCAAGAGATCGCCGTACCTTCGTACGTCAAACTGCAGCCGATTCCTCGGCGATACTCGGCAATTGACAATCATGGCAGTTTCATGTTGGACCCATAAACGAAACCGATTGCTACCCCGGATTCCTTACCTAGCTAGTACTGATCTAACATAAACAATCTACCCCATTCACTCCTTGTTAATCCTTCGTTCGGTAACTGTGTACTATTAGCTGATTATAAAGATGATGCAAGAGGCTTATGCCTCCGGTCGTTTTAGTCGACCTTTAACTGTGACATCATACATGGCGAGCCGAGCTGGATGTTTTCTAGGGTTAATGTTTCCAGTCATGTGTACCATAAAGGTTAGCTTGGCATGCCAGATATTTTGGATGCATCAGGAGCCGAAATAAAAGCATACCGTAACAATCAAAGAAGCGTAGGATCTAGTAGCCTAAACTTAAAACGTGCCAGTTGTTCTGCGTTAGCAGTATTTGTGGTCAGCTCCGTTGATACTGTTCACATTTATTCTTATCTGTCACACGGACCTACAGTATGTACGCCACATAGCACGAATTATGCTTCAGTATTGGTCGTATAAAACGCATATTTGGATTCCCCGCATTTGGATCTCGTCCCGCGCGTCATACTCGCAACACCCGAGGTCCGTTACGGGATAGCCACAAACAACTAGATTTATGCAGTTATGCACTTGATTGGCCCTGCCGAACCTATTCCTCTATACTCGAGTGCTAGACCCATCCATTCAGTGGTGAAGTGGTGGTGACCCACCGCATGACAGGCGGAGCTCTCTTCCATGTGGGGAAATCCTTATGGACGGCCTTAAAACGTGGATGATATACCCCCCCATGAAGTTGATTATATATCCACCATAAGTCCCAGTTCTGGACCCTCTCGTCTGCTTCTTTCCCTGACCCTGCCTGGCACTTCAACACGATGATCTTCGAACCGCTGTCACGAGTGCCATTGCCCACCACCGACGTTATCTCCTATATCTTCTCCGATCCGCCATATGACCCTAATCAACCAGTAATTCTCTCTTTCCCCCGTCGCTATCAATTGAGTATATTCTAAATCAGCCAGATCTACAACGATGCGAGCGACCCCTCGCGGTCGATTTCCTACAATCAAGCTCGGGTCATCATCCGGAAGTTGATTGCCGGGTTGCACGCATGGGGTGTGCAGAAAGGCGACTGCGTAGCCATCCATTCCTTCAATGATGTGTGTTTTGATCCGAGCAGTACAAACTGCCGAAATCGCTCTAATGGGAAGTCTGATGCATAGATCTACTATTCCATGTTGGTCCTGGCGATCAACGGCGCCGGCGGTATCTACACCGGCACCAACCCCTCCTACACCCCCATGGAACTGGGACACCACATCCGAGCCTCGCAGGCCAAGTTCATCATTTCCGAGCCGGAAATCATCGCCCCAATACAGGCCGCCATGAAGGAGACGGGTCTCCCCGAATCGAATCTGCTGGTGTTCGACGTCCAGGGTCAGACTGTACCCGCCGGGCTGAAGTCATGGCAGGGACTGTTCTCCGCTGGAGAGGAGGATTGGATGCGCTTTGATGATCTGAAAACGTGCGAAGAGACCGCCGCCGCCAGGCTGTTTAGCAGTGGCACCACGGGTCTGCCCAAGGCAACGACGCTGACGCATCGCAATTTCATCGCCCAGCACGAACTGGTCTTTGAGATAGAGAAGCGACCGTATCAGGTATTTTCCCGAACAGCATAGCCTGGAGCAGAAGTGAGGAGTCCGAGTCGTATTGACCACTATAGATCCGCCGCCTCATGGCCCTACCCATGTTTCACGCCGCCGCTGCCCCTTCCACCCACTGGAGTCCTCTCAAGGGTGGCCATGCCTTATACGTAATGCGTCGCTTTGACCTCATGGGTTTCGTCCAGAATGTCGAGAAGTTTCAAATCACGGACCTGCAGATGGTCCCGCCCATCGCAGTCGCCCTTGTCATGACTCCGCAGGTCCAGGCACACCCGTACCTCAAAAGCGTCCGCATAGCTCTGTGCGGCGCTGCACCGTTGAGCAAGGACTTACAGGAGAAGCTCCGCGTCATGCTGGCCAAGGATGCGCCCTGCACACAGGTGTGGGGCATGACGGAGACATGCTGTGTCGCGACGAAGTTTGGAGCGTACGAGCAGGATGATACGGGCAGTGTGGGGAGATTGCTACCTAATATAGAGGCCAAGTGAGTTATAGCGTTATTCCAATGCTGAGTCTCAGTAGCTGACCGGAACCAGGCTCGTAGATGACGAGGGAAAGAATATCTCAGCGTACGGGGTTCGAGGCGAAATGTGTGTCCGAGGACCCACCGTTACACCGGGATACTTTAACAATGCCGCTGCGAATGCTTCCTCCTTCGATGAGGACGGTTGGTATCACACCGGGGACATTGCATACTGCGACAAAGATACTCTGAAGTGGTACATCGTGGACCGCAAGAAAGAGTTGATCAAGGTCCGCGGGTTCCAGGTCGCTCCGCCTGAGCTCGAGGCCGTTCTTCTCTCGCATCCGCTCATCGTCGATGCTGCTGTCATTGGCTTGTCCGGCGTGCTTCCCGATAGTGAGCTTCCGCGGGCTTATGTGACTCGGCGTCCGGGAGCGGGCGACAAGCTAACAGAACAGGAGGTGCAAGAATACCTCGGTCAGAGACTGGCGAAGTATAAAGCACTGACCGGGGGTGTGAAGTTTATGGATGCGATTCCGAAGAACGCCAGTGGAAAGATCCTGAAGAGGGTCTTGAGGGAGGAGGCCCAGAAGGAGGTTGAGGCGGGCTTCCGGCCGAAGCTGTAATATTACTCTCCAATGATGGTTGTATCTCTCTGGAATACACTCTAGACGTCTTGTTGGACCATAGAGTAGTGTCAATAGTACCACTTCCAGCCCACGCCATGAATGTCCCACTTTCTGACATCCCATGAGACTTGAGCCACTTGCCAAATGTAGATCTCAACACTTGCACCAACATAGTCAATATAGACCCCTAACCTCCTCTCTCCTCCCCACCAACAAGTACCATCCTCCCCTGCTCCCCATCCCACCTCCAAACCCCACCCTCCCCAACATTATACCTATAATAATTCTCCGTGCCCCCAGGGACCAAAGCCCTCCGAAAC